ATATTATATTATATTATATTATATTATATTATATTATATTATATTATATTATATTATATTATATTATATTATATTATATTATATTACATTATATTATATTATATAAGCAAGGAGCGTATGGTAGAATAGCCACGACAGGGAACGTGTCTTCTGTGACCTATTGATACTCATTTTTGCGATCGCTATTAACTTTTATAATAGGTTTGATTTAACGAAGAGTTGGAACAAAATGGGAATCTTGGTGAATGAAAACAAAACGTAACCATAAGCTATGAGATCTCGTGTGAGTTGTCATCTTAACAATGAGGATATGGCTTCATTGCAGTTACAACCGCGTCATGGGGAGGTTGTGTGAGGCAGTTTGTGCTCAATAGACGTCGAAAATCACACCCAAAAAAGTGACACTTTTTCTCAACTTGAATAGCAAATCTTAAGTGTAGAAGAATTCCGTATTGTTGCCTCAAGTTAAAAGTAAGCTCGATTACTTGTGAAATCATTAATAATATATATAATTATAACATTATAAATTAGAGGAAAATCGGAATCGTCGATGATATGAGATATAGGTTTTGCTCTCGTTAAATTAATGTCTTCCGGTCAGAATACATTCCGATTTTATTTTCGATATAAAATTTATAAAATACTATCACATCGACACAGCTATTAACTCACAGCTCATCAACTACTCGGCGCACAATAAACTATTAATACATATTCACTTTCAATATGTAGTTTTACTTGTTTTTTGTCGCAAATGACCCGCTCATCTATAGAATATTGAGAGATCATTGTGTTGAAATTGTATATTGCGCCACTGTTACCATGGATTATCATGAGACAACAGCTACTAGTTGAAACTTTTACAGCAAAATTATTACAAAATCTGCACGCATTGAGGTTCAGACTGCATGTAAATCGAACGCACAGAAACTTTGCAATACATCGACGACGAACGGGAGTTTCTATAGCAAAAATCTTGCAACTCCCGAACATCAGACGTCGCGCGAGACAAAGTGAAATATTGAGAGACCACAGCTATATGGGGACACAGAATGCAAGCACCCACAGTGTGCCCATATACCTAATTCCGTGATTTAAGGGACCGCATACCGCTTATTTCGTTATTTAAGGGACCACACATATCTCATTTCATGATTTTAGTTACCGAATTTTCATCATTCCGTGACTACAGGCATGCACCGCTTATCGCTCATTCCGTAACTTTAGAGACCGCATACTTCCGCATTGCAAGACTCGCATGATCCAATTCTTTCTCGATACCGCTATACAATCGTATTTGTGAATAAATTTGCCCAGCAGTTTGACATGAAGCTGTCTTAGTGGCAGTGTTTACAATGCATCCAATGCATGCATCAATTCAGAACAGTTATGAGTCATTCAGCCATTTATGAGGCTATTGTGCATGACAATAATAACTCGATGGAAAATCAGAAATATTCATGATACGACTAGGAGATGTTATGTCTGGGTTTGTTTATCCAATATTCTTATGCTTGTGTCATCGATACTGCCGATTTGAAGGTAAAAAGTTGTTCGCTGGACAAATATCTTTTGAACTATTATGGCTAAAATTCAGGATTTTGCATAAACTGCCTGCGTAAACTCAATTCCAGCGTAGTCCGATCAACAAATTGAAATTTGTTTGAAATCATATAATAAAAAATTATTCAATAAATATTCAGGATGACTGTTCAGAAATATGAACTATTGTTCGGAAATAAGAACCTCTTGAATAGTAAAAAATCATATTTTTATCTGAATGAAAGTTTCATTGTGAGCTGATTACAGCCCAAATACTTTCCGATAAATTTCATAATTTTAAAAAGAACTTTTTCCAAATTTTACTTGAAGCATTTTTAATATTTATCTGACAATCAAGATGGCCGATGTCGGCGCTGGTCTGCAAGCAATTGAGGTGAATATTTTATTATCAACAATTACTTCAATTAATTTAATATATTCAATATAAAAAAATAATAAATATAACTAATAATAACTTTAACGTGGACAAATTTTTTTCTTTAAAATTATCAAGATTATTATGACATTTACGCGTCGTCGAGTATATAACCATATTAATAGCTAAAATTAATTGTAGAATGTAATATATCCTATACAATTGAATTTTTGAGGCAATCTCTCACAGGACTTGGACCGACAACGTAACGCTCATCACCAAGATATCGATGCTCAGCCTGCACGACGCCAGTCAATTGGATATGGGCAAACAGGCGAGGGAGATTACAGCCTCTTTAGCTGCATTCCTGGATTCAGCGAACGCAAGTCGAAATTCAAAGCGTATGCGAAGGTCAGACCGATAAACTTCTGACGTAGTGGAAATTTGTACAATAATAAAAAAAATTTATTACATTTAAATGGATACAGATCGAGTTTTCATAACTTCCGTTTGAAAAAATTATTTCCGTAAATCAGTTCTTCAATTTAAAGTTTTATTTACATAAGATAATCCCATAAATATACTTTATCGATCAGATTTCGAGTATAAATCATGATGGGCAAGCCAATTTCAGAGCACTCAGCTGAGACGTCGTCTGACGTCTTCCTGCTACGTGCTGCTGACGCTAGCTTACGTCGCGTATCTCCTCGTCGCGCTGCACGTCGACACCGACGTTGACGAGGCAGATTACTGGTGCGAGGGCGACGGTTTCTTGCTCTTCGTCACGGGCTTCTTGGCTATCCTCGTCGTTTACTTTCTGGTGAGCTTGAAAAATGTCACTCGTTCTTCAGAGAACATTAATAATAGATGAATGTAGATGAATTGTAACCAAAAATCGCGTTAATTTCATCTTTTTTGCCTGATAATTTTAAAATGATTCATAATTTTCCCTGAGAATTTCAAACTAAATACTAATTAAATTACTCCATGGTTAAAAATTATACAAGTGGTCCTACATCTGTGCGATTATTTCTAAATTAAATGTGCGAATTGCTGTTGATTTTACAATCTATTAAGCTGTTTTTTTCCTTTGTTGTTGGAAGAATTCATGCCAAGCTAGTAATAAAGTACATGACATTATGTGGGCAGGGTATGAAGCCGTTGTGTTGTTGGGGGCTAAGGCATTCTGATGGTAGACCTCTGAATGCATTAAAAAAATTCACCCACGCTATTTGGTCGAAGAAGTGAGTATCGTCACTGAACAAAACCAGTGATAGTAATCAGCATAGCGATGGCCACTGACTTAATGGACAATATGAGTTTTTAGCCACCAACTTGTGTCATCAATACGCCAACTTGTGTTATCAATACACCAACTTGTGTCATCAATTTAAATCAAATTGATATTAATTATTTAAAGTTCCAAGTCCTTTTGTCAACTTTAATCTCCGTGCGGTATTGCGTTTCATTTTTTATACAAATGATTATTTTCCTTGTTCATGATCGCACCTCAGGTTGGTGCGGTGGGTGATATACCTCATCGTAACAGTTGCCATATCATTCTACTTGTACGTCGACACGAGCAATGACCGCAGGCGACTGCAGTCATTGGTGGGCCTCTTCTTGTTCATTTTGTTGGGCTTTGTCTTCTCAGTCGCGCCCAAAAAAGTTATCTGGAGACAAGTCATTTGGGGCCTCGCCCTCCAGTTCATTCTGGGCGTTATTGTCCTCAGGTGAATAGAGAACAGCATTCATGGTTTACTCTGGACACAGAACTTGTGCCCAAGAAAACGAGCAGCAATGACTTAATCAAGGTTTTAAATGAGCCAACAAATAATACTAGTTAAAGGTCCGGTTTCGGTTTGGTTTGGTTAGATTAGGTTAGGTTAGGTTAGATATGGTTAGGTTAGGTAAGGTTAAGTTAGGTTAGGTTATGTTAGAATAGGTTGGGTAAGGTTAGGTTAGGTTAGGTTAGGTAAGGTGAAGTAAGTTAGGTTACGTAAGGTTAGGTCAGGTCGGATCAGGTTAGGTTAGACCAGGTTAGGTAAGGTTTAGTCAGCCTAGGCATGGCAAGGTTAGGTTTGGATAGGTTAGGTTACATTCTAAACAGATTATTTTTAATGTAAAATACCAGTAAATATTTTGTAAGTCTATCTAATGATTATTCAACGTAACATTCTTAGTTACCGTTAAAACGAATAGATTCACTACCAAAAAAGTCTTCGTCAATCAAAAGTCAATCTTCATATTAATTTCTGCGTGAATCTTCCGTCTAATTCTGGTCATCTTCGTCAGCTCTCCAACGTATTTGCTCAAATATTTTTCTCGAACATATGTCATATAAAGTGCATATTTTCATATATCATGATATATGTAAATATGTATTTATTTTCTTTGTTCTCAAATATTATTATGTTATATGAAGGTAATTTTTTACGTAACCTTCTAATTTGTGACAATATATTACCTTATCCTACACCTTTTTGTTCTGCATTTACATCAAGATTTTTGTTCCATTTCGCCTGAGCACACAGGTGGCCCGTGGGGCGCAAGCTCTTCGAGTGTACGGGGAGGAAATTATCCCAAATTCTGTTGTTCACGCAAAACGGTAGCAACCATGTTTTTGGACCTCTTGGAACGAAGTTCGCCGTCTTTGCGTTCAAGGTACTGAACGATCCGGGACTTCTAGGAACGTTGAATGTTTGGGATCATTTCTTTTGGCATTTGGATATTTACGGAGAAGATTAATGCCTACCTGCCTTGCAGCAACCGCTGATAAGTCCAATGCGTAAATATTAAAAATATTTCTGTCACTAGATTGCTTAAATCACAAATTCACTATGAATTTGAAAGCGAAGAAAACTCTACAAAAATTCGCCATATCTCTATTGAAAATCTTACGGAGTCCAGCTCCATCGTCCTTAGTTTATAAATATAGTTGTGCACGATATACATCTGCGTACGTTCAGATAACGTCACGCAATCTATATTCTAGGGTCGCAGAGCATAAAGGAAGGAGTTGTAGTGCGGGGCAGTAACTATCACACCCTCCTCGTTCAGCTGTGCGCACTCACGCCGAACAATGCAACTTTCCAGTGACCGACGCTGACTTTATGGTTTTAGCTTCTAGTTCTGTTGCTTCCGATCTGCGTATTTTGGAATCCTTGGATATTTTCAAAGAGAGGCATAGTTAAAATACAGCCTTTTATAGCTATTATCCACTAAAAATTGTGAATAGATGGGTTTTCACGTTAATAATGTCTTTTGTTTGTAAATTTAGGTTTTAATTTCTGTATTTTTTCTTTTGAATTTCGACAGTATCAACTTCTTATTGTATTTGTGTTTTAGATTTTTCGAACTGACGATGGAGCTGGACTCCGAAACGTTTTCAATACAGATATGGTGAATTTTTGCGGAGTTTTCTTCACATTTAAATTTTAATGAATAATAAAATCATATTCCTGTTAAAATAAAATAAATTTATTATCTGGAACAGTTAATAAAAACGTTTTTCCAAACCTTCCCTTTGTTCTGCTTAAATTCTACGAATATATATTTTTTAAATGTTAAAGTTGAACAGCATTCAAGGTTCATGCATGTGCGTATGAATTTTATTGAGCATTATTTCTCCTCCTTCGCTTCCCAATGATATATATACATATATCGGGAAAAAACTCTGTTTACTTCACTAAATTTTTTGTTTAAAAACTACGAATCAAATTGTTTTTAACAATTGAATTGCAATTATATATATGATATTTAGTCACCAATTATTTGTAGTAATTTTCATCGATTATCAGTCGGTGACATCAGTTCATGCGTCGTCACGTCCGCTTGTCTCATGTAGGATGACAACAAACCTTCAATGTGATGAATTTCATACAAAAAAATACTAAAACACCACACTTCTCAGCCGTGCGTGCTCGCAAGAAATTGAACTTGATGAGAAACTTTATCAGAATTCAAACATCTGCACTGGGGATTTGTATGTTTTAATGTATCCAAGCATGTTCCTATTGTGAAGTATTGTTCAATGTCAAGGTGGTAAAATATTCTTCATTTCTAGCTATTTTAGCTGTTTTTTTCCTATATTGCGCTTAAATTCATCCGGACATTTATCATTACTGCCTTAATTCTTCATCGGATTTCAGTGAATGGTAAGAAATGCCACAAGAAATAATATATTCTTAGAAAGAGTATACATGTGCTTAAAGTTGATTTGTAGCAATTTAAATATGTTCGAAGTTATATGTGTGTGCATAACTGAGAAAAGTGGCATTGAGGGGTTTTATCAAAATAAGAAAAATTATTTATCATGTTTATTTATCGTGGACCTGATTTGAAGCCTTGAAAGAGATTTTTTATTTTCTAAACGCAAACATTTTCGGCCTACCGGATTTTTTTCTTGATGTTTTCGAATTAGAGAATCTCTAGTATTACTAAAACATAAATTTTGCATTAAGTCTCTCATATTTTTTTCAGCGTTCCGCGTTGCAGCGTATATCATTTTCCTAATTTTTGGTTTCGACGCCCACTCGCTGAATGTTGATACTCCACTCACCCAATGGTCATTAGTAATTTTAAATAATATTTTGCTGTGCAGATCCTGCCTACTGTGATATTCTTCAGTTTTTGCGTTAAAATACTTTACTACATCGGCATCATGCAGTGGATTGTGATTAAACTTGGTTGGCTTATGCAAGCCACCATCGGCACGACTCCCTGTGAGAGCGTCATCGCAGCGGCCAGCATCTTCCTAAGCATGGTGAAGATGTAATAAATCAAACTCATACGAATCAATCAATCAAATCACACAACCACTTGAATAAATAGGGAGTTTATATGTTAAATTAATTTTGAGATTTTTCTCTTTTATTATACTTTTATAATATTGGCCATCGCTTTTTTAATTTCGTCAGATTGGTCCGCAGTGGTTTAAAAGGCGCATGACAAAGTTCTCGTATGGATGGGTTTACGGTAAAAAACATAGTACAAAGAGAGGGTTGTAATGAAACACTGATACATTTCATATTAAATTGAAATATTAAATTTAACATCCTACGTTAACAAAAATCTCTAGTACTTGACAAGGGTAATCTGAACACAATCAAAAGTCCAAAGCCTATCAGTTTACATCATAAAAGTCATCTTATTTTACCAGAACGTTGCAGTTCCGTTGAGCCGTACGACTGTTGTAAACGACCGTAACTTGCGCACACGTTTGCGGCCGTATGTTCAGCGGCCGTACCGCTGCTGTATTCTCGCGTCCACTTTACAGTTGCTCTTTCTTCATGGCCGTATTTCCCGTGCTTTAGTGATGTCTCACGGCCGGTCTAACCGTAGAATTTATGACGACCGTATTTCGGTTGATGATTGTGACCGTACCGTTTCTTCTGATGAAAATGGTGACCGTATCGTATTGATGACCGTACCGATGATAAGCTCGAAAACTTGAATCTTCTGATGACGTGCGTTATAATCGTTGTACAACTCGTGGCCCTCTCGCATTGTCTCACGGCTGAGTTGCAGCTGTAGTGTTGATGTTGATTTTCTTGACGTGCTCACCAGACTCTTGGCTGCCTCGATAAGTCCAGGTTTGTCGCGATCGTCAATGTTCGAAAAACGGCAAAACCGACGGTCTCACGGCCCCTGCCGTTACAAAGTCCACTGACTGCAGACCGTGCTTGCGCGACGGTCACCTCCGTAGAACAGAACTTGGCGCCAATTTTAACGTCCTTCTATACGCAGCCGTCGCGCACCGTTACGCCAACTCCCTCGAAGTGACGCCGCGACAGTTTTGAAATCCGCAAGGGTCAGCCGTTTGATGCCCTCGCCATTCCAAACTATAAACAACTCTCGCTCTCGCGGTCTCGGGAACAACAGCACCTTATGCAAGCTTTACACAGCCTTTCGGAGCCTTAAATTTCCTTCAATTTGAGCACTTACTAAAGCGTTGCTTCTAAATAAATCTCACATCCACCATTCAGCATGCTTCAATGGAATTCTTTTACGTTACGCATTAAAACAAATGTCATAACACGGCAGTCTGAAGCGCCGTTGCTGATCCGCCCCTTCATCCACCTGATGACGATGTCGGAGCTACACGCGGTGATGACCGGCGGCTTTGCCACCATCGCGGGCTCGGTGATGGCAGCCTACATCAGCTTCGGGGTCTCGGCGTCGCACCTCCTCAGCGCCTCCGTCATGAGCGCCCCAGCAGCGCTCGCGTACTCCAAGCTCTTCTACCCAGAGACCGAAGTCAGCAAGACGTCTGCTCAGGAAATTCCCGTAGTCAGAAGGTGCAACCTGAAATGCTATAATTATTCCTTCCTTAGAATTGCCTGCGAAGAAATCGATGTTTTTAAAAGTAAGTTTTTCCATAATCAATAAAGAAAACATTTTTCGAATGTCAATTCTATTTAATCTTTCCCTTAGGATAGGAGAGTGACTGAGACTACGACGTTGGTCTTAGTCTTCACTTCACTTATCACTGCCAGGCCACGACTTAATATCCTGATGGACTCAAGATCGTCTAAATTTAAGCCAGCCGATCATATTGAAATTCCACTACCTTTGAATACCTTTCTATTTCCATCATCAGCGATGAAACTAACGTCCTACACGCTGCGGTCGAGGGTGTGGTAGCCGCGCTGCCTCTGGTGGCCAACATCGCAGCGAACCTCATCACCTTCATCGCCTTCATCGCCTTCTTCAACGCCATCTTCGACTGGTCCTGTGTACTCGTCGGTGCAGATGCAGGCGTCTGCACGCTCCAGGTGTGTAATTTTTTGCAGTTGAATACTAGTTCAAGCGATTAGTGTAATTTTGGTCACGGATTTAAAATTTTGTGGACGTAGTAGGTTACTGCATCGCCCTGTAACTTAGAGGCTGGAAATCGACCGCACGTCGCAAATGCTCTGACCTTACTTCGTGCGATAAGGAGTCTCACGTAAAATAAAATCCGATTTTCCAGGACCAATGCATAGAGAAAGTGAAATTTTATACGCTGATGATCTGATACATTAATTGTTTGTTCGGGTAAATTTTATACGTCTAGCGTGGAGCACGGTAGTGACTTGGGGCGTGCTGGGCTGGATGTGGTGTTAGAATCATCTGCGATGTGTATCTTCATGCCGATGGCGTGGAGTGAGTGTGAGGACACGTTGAGTGTCACAGTCTTGTCACATATTCTCTGGGCAGAATGTGTTCCTGTAAATCTTCATGTCGCTGGCGTGGAGTATGAGTGTGAGGACACGTTGAGTGTTACAGTCTTGTCACATATTCTCTGGGCAGAATGTGTTCGGGTACATCTTCATGCCGCTGGCGTGGAGTATGGGTGTGCCTTGGGACGAGTGTCATGCCGTGGGGACGCTCCTGGGACTCAAGACCATCGTCAACGAGTTCGTCGCCTACTCGGCTATGTCCGAAATGATCAAAGATGACCAACTTTCTGTGAGTCATCTGTCAGATGATCACTTACAAGTATTTACGAGTTAAAATCTACACAACATTCATCATTTTTTGCAAATTCGGGTCACACTGTTCTGCTAGTATGTACCGTAATTTCCCCAAGTCCCTCACCACAAATGTGGGATACTAATTAATGGATTTTAAATAATACGCGTTAAAAAATTACTTTTTAATGACAACACTTCTGAACAATCCAGTCTCTTGGATGTTACACGTGTACAATGAATTTCTAATTTTATTTTCAAATATTTAAAAGAATTATTTTTCAAAAATTTTTAAGATATCAAAATTTTGTTAATTACCAAAATTATTTATTCTGTCAACTGATTCACGCAGTCTCTGACTTTATGCAATTGTGCAAAATTACAGATCGATTGTACAGGTCAATTTGTGTCATATATGGATTATAAGATTTGTAGCAGACGAAATTATTTTTAAATTTTTTTAATAATGAAAAAAAAAAATTTTAAATCATTTATTCTGTCAATTAATTTATGAATTGTCTTCAACTTTACGCAAGTGAGCCAAATTTCAGATCGATTGGACAGGTAGAAGTGTGTTAAATATCGATTATAAGAGCAGACAGATAAACAAACAACAAGAAATGAAGTTAACGAGAAGTGTTGTGAAAAGAAACATGTTATAAGCTAATTCCAGTTAGTTTTTCAATTACAAATTTGCTAACAAAATTAAAAATTACAACGTAACGTATGATATCATCATCATATCAATCCACGTGTTCGGCCGGCCCAGACTCGGTCGCAGGTGATCGCAACGTACGCCTTGTGCGGCTTTAGCAACCTCGCGTCCATGGGCATCCAGCTCGGCGTGATCGGCGCGCTGGCTCCAGAGCGCCGTACTCACGTCGCCAGCATCGTCTTCAGGGCCATGATTGCTGGCAGTGCTGCGTGCTTCATGACTGCGTGTATTGCAGGTAGTGACATAAAAGTTGTTGTGCATTGCTGGTAGTGACAGTCTGTGTGCATTGCAGGTAGTGACAGCATAGTTGTTGTGCATTGCAGGTAGTGACAGGATAGCTGTGAGGAAGGCTGCGTGCTTTGCAGGTAGTGACAGCATAGCTGAGAGGAAAGATGCGTGCATTGCAGGTAGTGACAGCATAGCTGTGAGGAAGGCTGCGTGCAGTGCAGTCAATGCTATAACTATTGATAAGGTTTTGTGCATCGCAGGAAGAGGCGGATGCAATGATGGTGATTTTGCGAATGTTACATGTACAGTTGTTTGCACTACAGATAATTATGTTTTAATGCCCGTGAAGGTGCGTTAATTATACATAATGATGCATGTATCACAAGGAATGAGGCCTCCATTATATTTTATTTTCCGTGTATTGTATGTATAACCGGAAGCACCACCGTAAAATGGTAATAGTTGCAAAGCGTATAAATTAAAACAGAGAAGATAAAATATTTCGACTCTAGCTCTCAAATTCTATTATTTCAGACAGTATCAATTAAAGAAGCATAATCTAGGTTACATAGATAAACTAACATTTTCATTGAATTTAACACGAGTTGCATCTGGACCATATCAACACACGTTCATATCTTACTTTGGAGCGACTAATACAGTACAGTTCATAAATTTAGTAAATAATTTTCGAAAAAAAACTTTTCACGTACATAATAATAGCTACAATAGGATAAGACTAGCGCGTCTCAGAAATTAGGGAAAATTCATAACAACAGCGACTGTCAATCTTTTTAGCGCAGCAGAAGCTTCATCAGCAAGGCACAGGTTGTTGAAGGTTCTAACATCCATTACGCCGAGACTGCGAAAAATGATAGATATTTCCCCACTATGAGAGCAGTAGAAATGACATAAAGGATCTAATCCCAACAAATTATAGCCATAAATAATACTACCAAACGTGTTAAATAATAACGCTTCAAATACCGAATAAAATCACTTAGAGCTCCTCGCAATACGGCTGGGTTTGCCGAGTGTCTTCGGAATCAGTAAAGGCTTGTAACTTAAAGACTAAATTACAAAAGCTGCTTAATATCACGAAAAATTTAGATGATTGGAGAACGGTCATACAAAAATATTGCAACAAAATTGAAAAAGATGCGAGTGGAGCGGGTTCGAGCAATAACGAACGCGGTCTAACGTTTGTAGGACCAGCAAAGATTGAAATAAGTGAGTGCTTCATGAACCGGCCACACCATAACGCCTGGATTGAGACGAATGCAGGAGGTTACAGCTACCGCAACACGGAAGAGAATAAGCAGCAATATGGGTGGGTACAAGTGGCTACATTACGCGAGGGGTGTTCGACGTGACTGCTGAGGGCACTGGCTTCAATAAGTCCAAGTAAAAATAGTGAACACGATATGAACGCTAGTTCTATAGTTCGTCAGTGCCCATATCCTGCCTCACGCCTGAGTTTACCAAGCGCCTTCTGAATCGGTTACGTTTTGTTTGATAAACTATAAACTCAATAATAATTATTATGAGCTGCTTCGTATGCGTATTTCGGCTAAATTATAAAGAAAATCCGCTTTAGTTTTTAGATGACGTAAAATAAACATGTTCAGTTTCAATTTCGCGAACCGGTTCAATCAGATAAATCGTGATGTTCTGAGATTCACTTCCTAATATCGAAAGAAGGTCTGAACAGCTATTCCGCCGTACAGAAATATTAGAAAATTATGGGCTCAGTCTGGTCGTAATTATAATGAAAACAAATGCCTACGGAACTAAAAAATGGGTTTTACATATGTAAGCCAAGTGCTGTCTAGATGTTGTATTACTTTATAATGAAAAATGATAGTTGACAAAGTACTGAGAAATTTTCAACAATATTTTTTACTACTTCAATTTGTATATTAATTATTGCTTCTGCATGGCTAATCGTAACTCTTTTGCAGGCGTTCTGCTGGGTGACGAGAGTTCGTAACCGGCAGCAATCAGCAGCAGCGTTTAATTAATTTGTCCTCAATTAAAATTTGGTCATTCAACACGAGCAAAAATCTTCCGAGAAAAGGAAAAGCAACGACAGACTTTCCATTGCAACAACCAATCCTATGTTTGGATTAATCCAGGAAATTTACAATGCATTTAATTAATTAAAACTTGAATTGAAAATTTTACTTTCACATAATATTTTTTAGTGCGCCATAATGTGCGCCATAAACTTCAATACCAAATTTGGCGACCGAGAAGAGCGAATTCATGATCGGATAATTCATCGTGTTTATTCACTATTTTTGAATATTTTTAAATGAATTTTTCATGTTTATAGGTACAAATGGACAATGGGCAACATTTAAATTCATATATGTATATGCGCCAAATTGAATAACTAAAATTTACATAATGTTTTGTCATTTTCATAACGTGGATAGCAGTGCGACAATGACCAAGAAACCGGGATACCGTTGGAAGTCTCAGCCGGTGGTGACCTAGAGACATATAGGAGGCTTAAATCCTCTTAGGGGCAAATGTACTCTAGGTCTAGGAATCTCTGGCACTCATAGAGGAGTGGGACCTGCATTCAATTGAATTTAGAGGAGCTACATTGAATTGGCTTGCATTGACTAGCATTCTCACTAGCTCTTAGGGACCTGCATAGAACTGGCTCTTAGGGACCTGCATAGAACTGGCTCTTGGGGACCTGCATAGAACTGGCTCTTAGGGACCTGAATAGAACTGGCTCTTAGGGACCTGCATAGAACTGGCTCTTAGGGACCTGCATAGAACTGGCTCTTAGGACCTGCATAGAACTGGCTATTAGGATCACCATGCGCTGTGCGTTGAAGTTCCTATTGAGAAAATTTACTTTTTGATAAATGATCTTTAAAATAAATCAATTCATATTAGGATTTCCATGTTGAATATATTTCATCACGAGCTTGAACAGAAGTCGTTCTGTTGTAGAATTTTTCTTCTTCTGTGATTTTATCATGATACCTAATATTGCAATAATCAAATTCTGGTCTGAAATGGCTCCAGAAAATTAGATTATAAATGCTTCATTATATTATTTTTCAACGTAGGGGAATATTGGAACTTGACTTACATCATTAACTAAGCAACTGTTGACTCTTGGATCTGGCGCCATGAGCTCCTACAGAAGACGCGCGGAGAACCCCGCCAAGTTGGCTACTCTTCATACCAGCCCCAACGTTGAATGATGGCGCGCTGTTAGTCTACGCTGAGACGTGGTCGTGGTTGGTGGTAGAGGTTCATCTCAGGCAATCTAAGATTGCATTGAAAGCATTTCTACACAAATGATGCGTGTTTGTTACATAGATTAGTAGCACATTAATAAACAAATTAATTGTACAATACAATAAAAAATTTAATAATTTAGTACTTGAACATTAATTATAAGGAACCACGCTGTGCCTGCAAGAAGTTGCCTGTTTTGAACAAGAAGGCGGGGGTGAGACGCTCAAACTGCTGCCCAAACTGTCAGTTTAGGCCTAAAAAATGGTTTTGCGAACATGAAAACAGTAAATGCCGACAATTACATCCAATCGTTCTGCTCAATGTCTTTTTGTCGCATAAAACTGTTTGAGTTTTTTTCAATAATTCGCTAGCACTCAACCAAGTGATCTCGTTAACCCATTTAGTATTATTCTCTACCATAATTACATGTTTTTCAACACTATCCCATGTTAACTACTGCTACTACTAAGTTACTAACACTATTCAACGTTGCATGAAAATGATAGAAAATATTCACCATTCATGAATAACAATGACTATTTTACGCCATCACTCACTATGATGCGCCGTCCTAACCCCTGCCGAGGGAGTTAGGCGGAAACATGCGTCAGGCTTCGCACAGACGTCGTGGAGCAGGAAGATTAGGATTGATCCTGAGATCTTCCTAGTGCCGTACTGATTGTCCAATTATATTGAAGGAGGAATAAAATTTGCAAATGCAATTAACACAGCATACATTATTTCATGTGTTTTTCAGCAAAATTTCTACGATACCAGTGTTTAAGTGACGACGAATTTTAACGAATTTAATGAAAAAAAATCTACACTGGATTCTTCTTCATGGACGATTCAGTCAAGTTCCAAGAATTAGAAAAAGATTAAATTGATCACGGAATCTTCGTTCACAATGTTGTTGATATTTGAAGCTAGCAATAAATATTATACCTTCTCAAGATATTTTCTGATTCCAGGCGATAAAACGAATCCAACGCTCTCACAAATTCACTAAATTTACGTCAATATTGCGCAAAATGCAAAGTACGGTACCTATATAGTATGTATGTTGCATCGATGAGTTCTGGAGTTTCACTGTTTTGTTCGCCTCGCAAAATTACACGAAGGCTGAGGAGTTTCCCGCTGCTGTTAGACTCAAGGTTACGGACCTTGCGGCCAATTGCATTGGCATGCCAGGAAAAATTAGGACGAATGCAAATGAAACTTAGAACGAAACACGTTTGAGCAATCATGCTTGTTGTTGTCTTTAAAACGAAATGCCAAAGAGTTAGTGATAAGTTTTGGATACAGGTAGATTATATACACGTTTGTATTCTTAATGTAAGTAACTTTGCAAATCTGAAAATTCCACGAGTTTTGCAGTAAATATTCAAACAAATCATGACAACGCTCTAAGTGAAATCGTGTACGTGCGATTAATTTTCTAGTTAACAGCACAATGGTTAAGTGCAAATAAACTATCAAAAAATCATGGATTATAAAATTATAAATAAAAATCAGTATTAACAGACTGATTTTGAATGGTTTTTTAACGGATATAAGAAACGTTTATGGTGCAAGAACGCTTTTTCAAGCGTTGCTTTTTTAAGCTTTGAACTCTTTTCCAAACAGACGGAGCGTTTTTTATCACCACCACTTGAGCCAGAACAATCAAACACAGGCATCGCGTTGCCAACCATCAAAACAATGACAAACAATAAGACAATGAGCGTCGTAAGCCTAAACGCGATCGTCCTGGTCGCGATTGTTCGGTGCACAGTCGTCCGCAAATTCAGAAACAATTTCCGGTTTACGTATCCGAATTCTATAGCCCAATAGCTGAAAAGTATAAAGTATAAACCATGAATACTGCACAGTGGTTGAAATGTAATTGTAGCCCATGTTAATTTAATACCCTGCATTTTAATTTTTTTTTTTTCGATAATATTGAGGTAAAGTTTAATCTACAAGTAAATGATGTTGAGCTATATTCATCAATGCATAATTTGACTTAAGCTCACTTTGATCAAAGGCTTCCATAATCTAGAAACTTCTGATTACAACTGATTTCGGTGATATTTAGGCAGGATGATATGAATGTTATAAAGCCTTATGATTAAAGCCATATCTGTACTTCATAATTTTATATGAAACTAAACTACACTTATCTCAATTAGATTGAATTTTTGAACTCCTGATTCAGATGCACCAGTTGTAGTTTGAACGAATTCAAAATTCTCGAGTTTAACTATTCATGATTGAAAATACATTACCTAGTGAGTGTAACAGTAAAAGATATTTTTAGAGTCAATTGCGTGAAGCAATATTCATCCGTCAATGTGAGTGAGAAATACTGAGTGAATGTGGCAATGCAATACTCATCAGTGAATAAATCTTCCAGTGGGAATATGAAGTGAGGAACAGACCAGTAGATCTACTTACTCATCATGCCTTCATCTTACAGCTTCAATGTCGAAGTAAGTTCCTTATCACTAATTTAAAATTTGTATAAAATAAACACATGAAATCTTGTTTAAAAATTCCCAACGTGTAAAAATGTGCGAAATTTGATTCATTTATAAAGTCACTTTTAATTTTCAATTGCAACCGTTTCAAAAACATATATCAAATTTTTATTATATATTTTCGGGATTTAGTTGAAAAAATTATTGCTATTATTCTGATGGCTCTTAGAATTAGCAAGTAAGAGAAAGAAAACGATCTGACGTTATTTGTTAACTATAAAGAGAGCGGGTAGTTTCTGAATCACCGTGCCCATTAGCAGCGTGCTGAAGTACAGATGTATTGTACTTTTTGAGGCTATTGCAAATGTTAAATTAACGCGCGTTATCTTGACAGAGTACATTACATCTTGAAAGAGTGTAAACTCAACGGTAATTCAATGGGCGGAAAATTAGGAACAAGTGAGAACATAATCTTTCAGTTCAACTTGTCACGCAAGGTTAAATTGCTGGATAATTACGACAACCAGGGTTAACCAGCTTGGGTACCCTGCTACTTATCATGCACAGCAACCCGAGATATATCGAAGTGACCTGCTGGTTATTGAAAGGAGAAAAAAATATCTTCGGCAGCGGAGCGGAAAAACTCCTAATTTCGTCAGGGATATAATGTTAATTCATTAGCCTACTGTTAAATTTCAATGATAATGACGTCTTATAATTTAATTTAGTAATGACCGTGCCTGACACTGTTAATTTCATCGTATAACGCGCGGGTTCGACAATGTGTATAATGACATCATTATCATGATTGAAGAGAACAATACAGCTACCGATAGGTCATGTGAACCACCATCTTACAGGTTCACGGTCACAGGTGAAGCTTTCTTCACCGCCGGTTGTCGTCAAGGTGTTCATAATGGGTTAGAAACTAAGTGTAATTTGCGAGTTTGACAACCATCGTGTAACAATGGGCTCAATGACACTTGTTAAAATCATAATTACTTATCTGCAGTTTGATACAATAAGTGTGGATTATATTGTAACGTTGTTTCTTTATCTGGGCAAAACGTAAATTTATCTGGGCGAAAATTATAATCTATTGCAACATCGTTTCGCCTTCGAAACATCTTCCCTACTCCCTGTGAGTGCCAATGAAAAGGGGTAGTATGTGCCAGGGAGCATACTTCTGAATAAGAATTTATTCAAATGATGCCTGATTGGCCTCCTGGCTGAAATATTTCAGCAGCTGCCACACAAGTCTACGTTATCGCTGGCAAGGCCGCTCCATGCCGCGCTAAATATCGCCGTACAGTCCACTCAGTCCATGCCACGCTAAATATCGACGTACAGTCCACTCACTCCATAGTCCATGCCACGCTAAATATCGCCGTACAGTCCACTCAGTCCATGCCACGCTAAATATCGACGTGCAGTCACTCGCCACATGAGCGCAGGGTGCGAGCTCAAGGTCAGTTAATGTTCATGCCTGAAGTTCGCCTCATTGGCGCTTCCTCGTCAAGACACTGTTGTACTCAAGAGGCTGTAAACTTGTTTATAAGATAGGCCTTTTTAGCGCATTTTCTCATTATGAAAAAAGGCGCTATTGTGCTCGTCATGTCCGTCCGTCCGTCTGTCTGTTTGTCCGTGACTTCACGTTTTCGTGGACGAGGAAATGCGCTCTCTGTCACTCACTGCAGTGAGTACTGAGTTATATTTTTTAGTTTAAAAATTTTCCTTGTTGTATGAGGGCTTTTTCCTTTATTGAACCCGTAAATATCTCTTCTCTATAAACGAATTCGTATAGTAATCAAGTGGATTTAAATTGACATATAAGATGTTGCTTATTAGGTAGCCGTTTTTGACATATTGTAGTAGTATTTTTTACTTCATTAAACCCATAATTTTTTATTTTTGAACCCATTCTCTACAAAAAATAGACGCAGCGTTGAATTGCGGCAATGATATCAACACTCCGTATACGTAGATTGACATAGTCTTGATAACAGCTGAGGGTTTCAATGAGGGTATCAACATAACGTACGTTAGATGCGTGTTCATGCAGTCCGCGATGCCCGTTCAAATGTAATCGCTCGTGCTAGTTTTTCTACAGTTCGAACTTCCTGCTTTAGCTTCTTATTATAACAAATAAAGAAATTTGGACTATGTTCGTGTTCTTGAGTTTCAAAGCACGGGTTTTTAACACTTTGTTTCCTTATGCCGAATTTTTTGTATGGAAGACATTTCAATTAACGCTGACATTTATTGTCGAAAGTTCATTGGCACTTTGCGAGCTGATTTCTTCAACGAGGAACAGGAATGCTTAATGAGATCTAATTTGTCTTATGAAAAAAATTAATTTTGTATTTTACGGTCTAGAAATAAATTTAGTCTACAGTTTGTGTAGTTGCTATACATAATAGATTCTTCCTTCAATCTCACGTGCTTATAAGGAAAAATGATAAGATGCACGAATTTCAAACTTTTGATTGGCTTATATATAAGAGGTGCAAATTCTTTACAATTGCTAATCGAATGTCTGGGCTGAGTTACGATCGCGGACGTTTCAAAGCTCTTTCACCTTTTAATTACACAGTCGTTATAATGAAACTCTTGCGGCAACAACCGAAAGTTCGTCCTTGGTTCGTGCTCAAGAATGCATGAGATCGTTACGGTCGCTGATCGGTTAGATTTTGAACGGAGGAACAATTTAAAAATTGCGTAGCGTTCGTTAAATGCATTACGCAACTTAGACACAGGAAAAAAAAGCCAAGAGCGATGTCAATGGAACGGTTCCGTATGATGCAAGTGTTTCATCTTTCGAAATGACGTTCACAAAGAAATTAGAAACAATTCCCAAAAATAACTTTCGAAATGTGGTCTTTATTTCTATGTCCAATTTGATAGCGGGGGAAACGAAATCAAAACATACTAATTTACATGGGAATTTTCACGGAAACTTTTCAGAACGATGTTATTTGCGGAAACTATTGCGAAGCATGAGCGAACGAAATTGACGAACAATTGGAAGACGAACAAAATTCTTACTAAAAATCATGCAGAAACGTTCTCGTCAGGTGAGAATTCTTCATCCCCGAACCGTTAAAAACAGCGCCACCAACTTTTCATAATTCATCGATATTGCCTAAAATATGCCGTCATGCGAGGTCATTGTGATTCATCCAGGTGTTGTAATTTGGCTTGTGATAAGGAGATGAGATAAATAAATCTGTAATATATCGTGGCATGAAGTCATATTCCATCCGCGTATTGTACTATGTTGTGTCATGACCTTAGCCATGACCAAATTAGCCAGATGCAGTGCTTCGTCATGGCATTTGATATCAATTCCTTCTCATGCCACAATATTTTATGGCATGAGGTCCTGATGCCACATGCCATCGAAGCATGAAGCAGTCCCACGACGATTACGACGCTGTCATGTCTCGAAATAATCTCAATAATTGACATCGCCCCAGGCCACGCCGCTTTCATTTACCGCTCGTCACATCGCAGCTTTCTTTCACAGTTTTTTTTTGTCTGCTTATTTTATCATCAGCATTATTATCCAGTGCCGTGAAATTATTTCATTCACGATTGAGTGTCTCTGTTGATTTTTCCCTGCAGATGACATAAGCTGTTATAAATGTATGTGCTGCACTGAAATGTATCTCCAGTATCAAATATTCATTTGGGGCTACCTTATTTGCCCCAATACCTAAAACCGAACAACGCCAGGAAAATTTCGCATCCTAACTCTGAAGAAATGATTGTATTGAGTCGATAAATTGTATAAACAACATAATATACCATAATTTTGACACAGAAATATTTGTCAATGTCGTTCGAATGTAAAATTCACCTTTACGAGGAACGGTCCCACTGTGTTAATAATAGTTCATTGTACTATTCATTGTATGTATGTATACTCGTTTTATTGTTCATGCAAATTTAAATTACTTTTGTTTCCGTTTACTTAATCTATTTTTGACTATAAGATTTTCTCACTTATGCTCTCAGGATCAGCAGCTTAATCGTTACCACGTCAGAAATAAAACTGCTCATGATTCACAGCGGCAGCTACGTGACGGACGTGAGAAACTGAAAGCCTTCCTACAACTTTCCATGCAGAGATGAAATCTTGATCTCATTTTAGTGTGTCTATCTCACTTAGTCATTTTATATTCTGGGCAATAAAGTTATAGTCCAGATGCCTTCATAGACGTTCTTTTGATCGTTATCGCTGTACATTAACGTCAGTAACTCAATGTAATGTGGTGGCGTATCATCTATTAATACTAATGCATTGATGCAGATTATCGATCAACTAATAACAAACCGACGAGAATTAAATTGAGCGTGAAATATTCTAGCAAAAAATATATCATATTTATTGAATAGAAATTTAGACTTGAGTACTTTAGAGACGACTCATATCATGAGTTTAAAACTGAAGTTTAATTTGTATATACAGTCTCCGTTGTAACGTAAACTTGTATTCCTATCATTCTACTGAAGTTTACTGCCAATCCTGCAACTCCTTTCCATTCCTTAGTAAACCAAGAAGACTCACTCGCGCAAGCACGCTTCAGGAAAAATTACAATTCAGGCACTTCAATTTTTCATTTACTTCATTATTGAAAATTAATTTTTATTTTCACAGATTAGTAATTATTATTCTCACTTGTGACGCCTATGCATAAAATATTTCACTAATAAATTGGCTCCCTGTTCATAAAAAACCATTACGTAAAAATTTATCCCTTTTGCTGAACTCCTACATGAAATTAGTTCATTGTTGAGATTTATGATTAAATTAATAGGTACATAGTTGAGATTTATGACATATATAAAGTCAGAGAGTATATCATTATTTAAAAACTTTTTGGAAAGTTAATTATATGCTAGCTTTATATAAAAAAAAGTAAATAGTTACACCTTTTATGTACATCATATAAGATCAAGGTCTATATGCAGACCTTGGCCTAGGTCTAGGCAAACTCGTCTACCTGGACGAGCTTTGATCTCTTATTTACTAACGTTTTTTGTTGCCCTGTTGGTCGAGCAGCATCTGCATCCAGCGCTATTATTGCTATGTTCCGTACTTCAAAACTATAGCAACATCGCTCTTTACTTGGACCTTGCTAAAGAATTTCTCTGATCGAAACATCGTATTTTGGAGTCAAATCTGACTCTATTTATTCTCGTAGTGAACGTTTCAAGTGCACAATAGTGCGCAGTGAACAGGTTTGGTGCGCAGTGTACACGCTTTGCTAATAACGACCGTGCACAATATTCAGATGTAACAGCTGCATGCATCGCCGACACAGTCCGCCCGTTGCAGTGAAGCTATTATTATTATTATTATTATTATTATTATTATTATTATTATTATTTATTGTTATCCTATTATTTGCATCTGCAGGAACACTTGCACAGTGCGGCTATTACAGTATCCTCCTATATGCTTACCAAATTAGTAAGTATTTATTTGTAAATTGAACATTCTGCCGAACACAATTTCCAATAGTGGATGTTGTGGACCATATTTTTCTGTTTTTATTTCAAAATTTGTGCTGAAATTGGAAATATCTTTCAATTAATTTACATTTTTTGCATCATGACCTCTGATAAGGCTCAACCTGAAAGTAGATTTCTCGCTCAACATATATGCTCCTTTAAATTAAATAGGTTTGAATATACGATGTCCTTATATAGTCCTACTACGACTATATGATGCTGGAGTAAGGATTTTTTTGGCAGGATTGCTTGCATTTTAAAAAAAGTCGTCGAAATCTTGCAGCGATCGTTGCAATGTTTTCCCATGATCCAAAACCTGCCGCAGAGTTGTCGGTCTGCTGGCTTTGCCCCAGTTTTTTTCCCCACACCACGCCGAGTTTTTATGAACTGCGCTGCAGTGCGCATTTAATTACCAGCAATGCTTCTGAAATGCCCTAGCGCTCCAATAACTGAGCTATCATTTTTAAGCGAAGTTCCGCCATGCAAAATCATAGTTCAGTTATGAGACGTTTTCTTGAGGAATATATAATAGTCGAAACAATATGCAGTGACTTTCGATTGCACTGATATGCTGGTTGCACGGATACGCAGATCCGTCAACGACGCATGGGTCGCCGCCCGATCAGTTGACTCGTCACTCATCAATTAGAACATCAAAATTCCGGTTAAAAATATACTATACAAATTTGCATGCTATTTCGAGCTCAGCAGAAAGGGCTAGTTTAATTAATTCTGTAATTTCTTTCAAACGAAAATTTGTTTAAAACAATTAACTCGGAGTCGGTTTGTTGACTTTCACAATTTCTGAATAAAAGAATACGAATAATTTCCCTTCAAAAGACAGCCAGCACATTTCCAACATACTCGCTGGGTAGTGAAGGTAATGTTGATTTATTGCCAATGAAAGTAGAAGTTACACTATCCTTCTTAAGTGTTTTTCTGTAGTGTTCCCGCTTGATTATAAATGATGTATTATATCGACTTTCACTCGAGCCTTCCACTTCAATTTAGTTGAGTAAGGGATTTTTTCTCACATTTTGTAGTGATCAGTGGAGCGAAGTAACTCTTGAGAAGCAATCATTCGTTCTGCTTAATCAACGCTAGTGGTTCCCGCGAGGCAAATCTCGACAATATTATGCAGGTGATTAATTGGCCTGAGATAAATTCGAAAATTTAAGAATCTCGACAACTCCTGAATTTTAAATCACAACGAATCCATTCGCATATAGTAATTGTGCCACCAAAGTAGCTGTGTTGACGCTGCTCATGGAAAATCTTGAGTTATACTTACTAATAACATCGCTTCAGTTAGAAAAGCGAAAAGAATCGTCGAAAACCTACACTAGGAAAAATGGTGGGGTAATATTGTCCAGGGAGCGTTACAATTTCTCCCCATAGTCCTGATAAATATTATTTTGGCCAAATTGGGTCAGGATGACCCACACAAGAACTGAAAGTGTATCGCTCTTTGGACAAAGTTACACTCATTTATCTCCATGATGCTCCACTAGTCCTGTAGCCGCTGATAAGCCAATACGAGTCACCGCTCAACCGCAAGCTGCTTCTAGAATAGAATAGAAGTGTTGGCGTTGAAGAAATAGGCCCATGGCCTGTTGCCGATTCTTGAACTTTTTCACAAGGGATCCGGCCTTTGGAACAAGATCTTTCCATAGCTGACGATTGATTGAGATAGCTGCTGGACTTATTGCCTGGTCCGTAATTTGCTAGGCATCTTAAGACTGAACATATGCTCCTGCATAGCTTCGTCTGGACTTATTGCCTGGTCCGTAATTTGCTAGGCATTTTAAGACTGAACATATGCTCTGCTTCTCCAGCACCAACCCTGTTGTTGGTCCAACACTTCAGAGAATATCATGAGACGGATGCTATGGCTGTGTAAACATATTCTTTTCTAACGAAATTCTGAATATACCGGTACTTGACTTTTATTGTGTGCTCAAAGTACCTTATGATAATTTTATTTTTCGAAATAAACTTCCTAAAATTTCACGCTGTCACCAAAAATGACTTGTCTTATCATGCGAGTTGCAGGTTAGATAGCTAGCGCAAAATTATCAAGACATTTTGGCAATAATTTACCATAACAATTAACATTGCGCATTTTGCCTGAAATTTAGGATTGACTTTGCCACGACGTCATGTGTTTTTCTTTGCACGTTTTTTGTATTGAGCAATCGTAATGGATGTCAAACGCTTCATTTCCTCAATGACTATTTATTATTGTCGTTGCAATGACTATTTATCATTGCAGTTGCATTGACTATTTATCATTGCCGTTGCATTGACTATTAATATGCAATGACTATAATAAAGTCTTGGTCATCCCGCGCTAACAACAGTCGCCGGAGGAGGCCGCAGGATACGCAGCCTGCAGGAACAGGTCTCCCTCAAGGTCACTTTGAGGCGGGAACGCGGCTTGTTTTTCTCGTGTGACATTCATGAACTTCTTTACGACAGTAAAAATTATACTCGTTTAAAATTTCTCTTGACGCTAACGTTTCGTTTGGCAATAATTGTACATTTGGTGCAAAGCAAACCTAGGAGCTTACGGTAATTTATTCAACCTAAGAAAACTTTGCTCTTCTGACGTCAACTTCTGAGCGAGAGGAGTTGAAGTTTTCCACAGTAAATACCTAAATTAATGTGGCATTATAATTAAATTATTGGCAGCAAATATCTGCTTATTATACAATAATGATAATATATAGCAATGCAGGAAAATTTTCAAATAAAATCTTTGTATATATCGAACACTGTGAGCTAAAACACCTCGCTTTTTTCTGATCTCTTTCAGAGTCAATCTAAAGGCGTAGCCAATAAATTAAATTGGTACAAGTTTATTCAAGAAAACCTGTTCAATTAAAAAATATCTTGAGTGCCCTCGTTAGGCTTTGGTTCGTTACAAAAATAATCAAAACACGAAGGTTTTCGCAAAAAACTTGCTCAGCGAGCCAGTTCAGGACCACTAAGCTCATTTTGAATGTATTTAGCAAAGTCAAATTAAATCCAGTCTACCAATCAATTTTTTACTCCCATTTAACTCAAGGAATGAACATGCTTGATCGTATCTACTTCCAGAAAAGTTAAAGGGTCATATTGTTCAAATAGTTTCCCTCTTCCAAACATATAACAATAACAAGCAGAGAGCCACATCAGCACTGAGTGGCAATATTTCCGAGCCAAACTGGGTCAAGACGACACACACAAAACAAAAAAGTGATTCCTTCGTACGAATAAGCCTACTCATTTAACGAGAGCATCGGCTTTCACTCACCTGCTAAGATCTGTTCTGATGCTAGATTATATTGCACTCGTTGATTTGCTGTTTAATTGTTCATTAGCATTTATCCTATCAGAACAATATTATAATTGCTCGTAAATAACTTGTCTACTTTAATCGCCCGAAATATATCATATATCACGACACAATATTTCTAGTGATTTTTTTTCTATTTTTCTACGCTCTCTTATTTCACAATCTCATTCTAAAAATAGACGAGTTATACGTAAATAATATTATTAATAATATCTAATTATATATGATTGCTTCCAACCTACAGGGCTCTCAGCCCGAACCAACATCAACCAGCTATCGTCCCAATAAAACTGGTGAGACAGCTTCTTCAGCGCCATCTTCATCAGAACCTAAAACTGCGACTGGGATGTCGAACGGTGTCTCAAACAACAACGATCTAAACGTCGACAAAGAAGGCGTTCCAGATAAAGAAAATTACGATAAAGCCATCAATAAAATAGCAAATGACGCGAAGGACAAAAATGACGCTGACTTGGATGCCAAATGGCGAGCCAATTACGTCGCAACGCCGTACGATGGACCATCAAAAAAGCGCTCAGAAGGTACAGAGACGAACGGCCGTCCAAAAGCCAGTAATGGAAAAACTGAAAGCCTAAAAGAAGACGACGATTTGGACGCCAGGTGGAAAATGAATTATGTTCCAACTCCTTACGATATCAATAAGGTGAGTTTTTGTTTTGTTTATTAATTTATCATGTTCATTGGTTTATATGTATTCAATTACTTTATCATATGGACAAAAACTTTTCACGGCTAAAGACCATTTACGAGACATGACATGTACCATTTACGAGACATGACAGTTGCCAATCCTTTAAACGTGATTCAAGCCTGCAGATGGATGCACAGTAGATATTGAAAAATATAAAAAATATAACTCAGTACTCACTGCAGAGAGTGACAGAGAGCGCATTTTCTCGTCGACGAAATCTTGAGGTCACGGACGGACAGACGGACTGACAGACAGACGGACATGGCGAGCACAATAGTGCATTTTTCCATAAATGAGAAAATGCGCTAAAAAACCTGTATAAAATGTGATTATTTGATCATAAGTCCACATGGTTGCCACGCAGGTAGAGGTGCAGGAGGCAACAGAAGATGCCCCGCCAGTTCGCCGCATCCCAGCTCGCCCCAAGTGGACCAACAAGACGGAGTTCTTGTTCTCCTGCTTCAGCCTCACCGTCGGCATGGGCAACGTCGTGCGATTCCCGTACATGGCCTACAATCATGGAGGAGGTCAGTTGTAAACAATGGAAGCATGGAGCTGATCTTTGGGATGCTTTGTATTAGCTGCTCAAATAAGGGCAGCTGCACGGTCACGTTCAACGTTACCTCCGGGACCTTTTGGCCGGGCGACCTCATAGTGACAGTTTGGGTATGGTGGACGACGAAGGCGGCGCATCAGCGTGACCATGTACGAAGACGTCCTAAACTTGACATAAGGACATGAATATTATATAAGGATTTGGTTAGACGATTATGATTATTCGTTGGGCAGGCTGGGCCGATCAAGATGAATCCGTTAGAGAAATGCCAAGAAAAAATTGTTAATTAATGGGCCAATTTATGCGGTGAAAATACCTCATTGTTCACTAAGTATTTTAATTTGATGAGAATGTGATTGAAATTGTGTCATTATGATCATATTAATAATATGAGGAGTTGGAATTAACTGAATATCTCACACGATCACGTACACAGGAGCATTCCTGCTTCTGTACGTGATATTCCTGACGCTGGTCGGTGTGCCGCTGTTCTTCCTGGAGCTCGGCCTCGGTCAGTACGCGCAGCTCGGACCTCTCAACGTCTTCAAGTGCGTCTCCGCTATGCAGGGTCAGTTTATGTGTGTACCATCATGATCCGCTATGCAGGGTCAGTTTATGTGTGTACCATAATGATCCGCTATGCAGGGTCAGTTTATGTGTGTACCATAATGATCTGCCATGCAGGGTCAGTTTATGTGTGTACCATAATGATCCGCCATGCAGGGTCAGTTTTAAACTGACCCTGATGGTACACACATAAACTGACAGTTTATGTGTGTACCATCATTATAGACATTTACATTCACACAAGTTAATGGCTCATATATTGCAAACTGTAACACAATTTTTGTGCGTAGCGCTGATACACTCTTTTGCCGGGCAGAATTGGATCAGCATAAACAATGCAGGAGCAAAAAATTCGTCGCTATTTGGACATAGTTTCAGAGTTTATGTTTCTCAGGGTTTATATCCCGTGAACTGGACTAGTTTTTGTTATTGTAAAGTTATTGTGTTATATTGGCATGTGCCTTCAATAGAAATGATTCATAGATCATGTAAACTTGGAAAGCTCTTGCGTTTAATCTGTTTGCCTGACATATAATTCACCAAAAATATATTTTATTCAACATAGATAATAGCGAGCAACAAACAGATTGTGTAGCTCATGTCAATCGAGGATAAATATTATGTATATTATTCAATACCCCAAACCCACCCCTCAACTCCCTTAACTTTATTTTAAAATATTTTATTTTGTATTTGACTGCACTGTTAAAAAAACGGTGAAAAAACGGTCCCACTGGCGTTCTAGTTGCCGGTCGCCCCCGTGAAAATAAACTGTTTCGCCGTTTTGTCAGATGTTTTACGGAATTCTAGTGTTAAATTAGAATAAAAACGACGCCACGCGGTGTTTCTTTTCACGTGCCGACCGGCCACTGAAACACCGGTAATACCGTTAAGTGTAATTTTTCTAACAGACTGCAGCAATTTTTCCTTGCAGGCATCGGCGTGGCGATGTCGGTGCTGTCGCTACTGACCGCCGTCTACGCTAATCAGATGGTGGCTTACTGCCTCTACTACCTCTTCGCCAGCCTCGCCTACATCGGCTCCCCTGTGAATTAGTAGATTAGTACACGTAGATAAGTAGATCAGGAAACGTTTTTCAGGCAAATTAATATCTCAATTCAGTTGGCAAAATACATTTTTGAAGAGTACGACTCTGTATACTGTTATTCATTAATCGATGTGCCAACGAAAAAATATTTTTTCGGGGCTCATTTCCCTCGATGATGTAAAGACGAAAGTATTTAACAATCTTTTGAAACTCCGATCTCTCTAAATATTTTATTTTTTCTACGTTTTAGGGGTAAAAAAACACCCTTGCTCATTTAAAGCATAAAATTAATTAATATATAATATATAAATGGGTTACCTAAACCTATGCTGATGAAATTAAAGACATTATTTATTCATTCACCACTAATAGCTACAAAATCCCTTCTTCATTTACAGAATAAATATATATAATATTTTATTCCATTTTTATTTTTTATAATATATAACATTATTAATTATTTTCATTTCTAATATATAATATTTCATTCACAATATTTTAAAAAGATACGGAAGCCTATAGACGCATGTAGTTTATAATTAATTAATTTATTCTCTATTCACTGACCACCCGCAGCTGCCCTGGACCAGCTGCGGCCACGCATGGAACACTCACCACTGCTACGAGATGGGGGCGCCCCGCTCCCTTATACTGCTCGGCAACACCACCATCATCGCTGCATCACCACACTCAAAATTCAAGCAGACGGCGGCGCAGCAGTTTTTCTCGTATGTTTCCTTGAATTTGATAACATTAATCTTGGTGTTTGTACTCGGGCTATTATACATATATATTCAAGATATTCTTAACCAAGAAATACGTGGCCCGAAATCAAAGTCAAGTGGTCATTTGCATAATTTGTTTGCAAATTGGTTTATGTCTCCCTCCTTTCGATGAAATCTTTACTTTCAATTGCGAATTAACCTTCATGGAATTTGACTTCGAATGTTTGATGGGTATTGTACTATGTTCGCACCAGGCTATACTCAAGCTATGAATTGCTGTACCGCGAAGTACCTTTGTCACCACTGCGTAAGAATACAGGTTAATGAAGAAAAAATAGCATTAATGGCACATAATCATTATGATAGCACTTTGTTCCGTAGATATATGTACACTATACAGTTCCAAAGACCAGATGTATTGCATGTTATGTATGACTCTGAGCCAACTACATAAAAAACTATATTTTACGATCTATTTACTATATATTGCGAAACCCATCTCCTGAAAAAATTATTTTCCTTTATAACTCTTGGACGCTCTGCTGGCACGTCGTTTGGAACCGAGGCTCTGACATGCATCTGTTACCGCTTTGAACATCACTCAAAGTTTGTGGTCGTTCAAGTAAAAAATATTTTCCACCTGCTGCTTTCAAGCCAAAAAATGAAAAGTAATCAAAACTCATTGAAGTTGCGGTAGATAATGTTTATTTATAATAGAATAGGATAGAAGTGTCGGCATTGAAGAAATAGGCCCATAGCCTGTCGCCGATTCTTGAATTTTTCGTGACTTGATTCACAAGGGATCCGGCCTTTGGAACCCGATCTTTCCATAACTGACGATTGATTGAGATAGCTGCTGGACTTATTGCCTGGTCCGTAATTTGCTAGGCATTTTAAGACTGATATATTTTATTTTATTTAATGCTTTATCTTATCATATTTACTGATTTATCTTAAGCTGCCGGACGAGGTCAGTCCCAAATGAAAGCTGTCGATGACCCAACACAATTCTGGCGAAAAATGTTGCAAACCGCGGTTGAACTACGTAGTATAAGGTTGACCCATGAGAAGCTAATTTTTGCGGATGTAGTTCGTTGTTCGTCTGTGACGTCACTGATCTCAGTGACGTCACGGCATTAACCATTCACCGAAATGCGATCAAACCAGTCGACCAATCCGTCATGGGAATGACGGGATGGTTTAAGTTTCTCGATCTCAATGACGCAACAAAAAAGCTGAATTGAAAGCCTTAAATCCTCGTGGGTCAACCTTATATAGTTCATCCATAGTTGCAACCAATGTCGCGCGACCATTAGCATGCCACAAGTTCATTTATTGCAGGAACCAAGTACTACACAAGCCGGTATTCAGGGTACCATCTGATGATATCGGTACCATACGCTGGGACCTGACCTTGTGCCTGGTGCTGGCCTGGACGTTGGTCTTCCTCGTGGTACTTCGTGGCGTGAAGAGCACCGGTAAAGCTGCCTACGCTCTCGCCATCATCCCTGTAGTGGTGCTCTTTATTCTGATGATCAATGGACTGCTTATGCAAGGCGCTGACATTGTAAGTAATTTGAAGTATATTGAATTCATTCCTAATCAAATGAATACAATATTTGACACCGGGAAGATTCATAAATTTATACCTAGTTACAACAAGTCTTTTGCTAAATGAATTCAATGTTTAACACCGGAAAAATTCACTCAGATTAAATAAATCTGCAGTTCATCATCTGTTCTAGTAAATTATATCCATGACCCAGCAGAACTTAAACCAATCCATTGACCTACTATTCAAGTACTTTTAAGACCCTACCTTTTACATTAAAGAATTTTCAAGTTATTGTCTATTTTTATGTAAATTCTATCATTAATATCTTTATCTAAATTTCTACCTCACCACCAGGGCCTTCTGTACCTGTTTCGCTGTTTGCTCCTCGCTGGTCAGAACTGACCCCTACCTTTTATATTAAAGAATTTTCCAGTTATTGTCTATTTTTATATTAATTTTATCATCGATATCTTTACCTAAATTCCCACCTCACCACCAGGGCCTACTGTACCTGTTTGCCCCGCGCTGGTCAGATCTGACCAACTTGACGGTGTGGGCCAAGGCCCTGGAGCAAGTGCTGGTCTCGCTCTCCCTGGCCCATGGCGGCGTCATCATGTACGGCTCTTACAACTCATTTAGGAACAAAGTGAGTCGAAACCAACTACCTGTAGATTAATGGTTAGATTTATACTATGAAAAGTTTATAAATGATTTTACTAATTATGAATATTTTGCCCGAAATTCACAAATCTTATCAAAGAGATATGTTTTTGACTAGTAAAATTCACATGGAATTTTCAGTTTTGAAATAATTACAAATTCTGCAATGGTAGGTAATCCGATTATAAGTTTATGAAGGCCCAATACTTACGTATAAAAATGAATGTTCAAATTTTAAGTGAAAAGAAAATTTCCTCAATTAATGGTAATTAAATCATGAATTTTCGATAATTCTTTCAAGAAACCAAATGATAAGGTTCGAAAAACGTCTCAACTAAGAAAAAAATCATTCCTATTCAACCTTCTATCGGACCGCTGTTCTCTCCATTTTAACGTAAGAGAATCTCTCTATTTTAATATTATATAATCTCTCCATTTTAATATAACATTATCTCTCCATTTTATTATCATATAATTTAACCGTTTTAATGTAATATAATCGCTCCGCTTTTTTATCATATAATCTCTCCATTTTATTATAATATAATCTTTCCATTTTAATATAATATAATCTTTAGATTTTATTATCATATAATCTCTCCGTTTTATTATAGTATAATCTCTCCGTTTTAATATAACATAATCTCTCCGTTTTATTATTATATAATCTCTGGGTTTTACTATAAATCTCATGTTGCGTAACGTTGTCAAGGTGCATTTGGACGCCGTGGTGATGTGCGTGGGAGACCTGGTGGTGTCGATCATAGCGAGCGTGGCGGTGTTCGCCGTGCTGGGGGCCATGGCCCACGAGCTGGGCCTCAGAGACGTGGCCAACCTCCCTGACATGGGTAATTGTGTATACTTTTCGAATTAGAATATCAAATTAATAAGTAATATCAAATTCAAATTAATAAGTTATATCAAGCTTAAGTAATATCAAATTCGAAAAGTATACTCATGAAAAAGTATATTCGAAAGCGAGAACTTAAGTATTCTCTCGCTGCAATTCAGTAGAATTTTATGAAATTAATTTTGTAGCATGTGTTAGTGTACCTGTGGTAGCAGCTGAAAGTTTAGGTTTTAGAAAAGTCGATGATAGATTCCGGTTTGCTTGTTAGCGTGACTTTGTTACTGTGAGTATTGTTTTGACTCGCGCAATATGTTATGACCTTATGAAATTTTTAATTAATACCTGAGAACCTGGTATCGATTTCATCAATGAATTAAAAACGCTTCCATTAAATAAAATGAATAATTAGTCATATATGCTTTATGTCATTTTTTGCAAAGTCGAAATATGTCTCAAAGTATTTCAGCAGATTTTATTATTTCCGCTAAGGGCTGTTTATTGGTCATTCCGAGTTATGTTAAAAAAAATATAACTCAGTACTCACTGCAGTGAGTGACAGAGAGCGCATTTTCTCGTCGACGAAAACTTGAGGTCACGGACAGACGGACGGACAGACAGACGGACATGGCGAGCACAATAGTAATAGAGTGCAATAGTGCAAATGAGAAAATGCGCTAAAAATAATCATATTGCTTCACCCATTTCGACTGTTCGAACAGTAAATCTACGTTTATGAGCTTGAAATCAAGTTCCACATGTTCCCCTCTTTAGTGTAAGCCACACGTTTAATGTGTAATTCCCATGACTCTTCAATGTTCAATGAAATAAAATGAGTAATACAAATAACTTGTCACCCCCAGGTAATAAGTTAATTTAAGTATTAAGTTAATATTTAGTAATAAATATCCCCCAGGTGAGTCCCTGGCCCTGGTAGTGTACCCGAGCGCCATAGGCAGCGCCCTGCCGGTGCCTCATCTCTGGGCCGTTCTCTTCTACGTGGCACTCATCACCCTCGGCCTGGGCTCTTTGGTGAGACTATGATTATAAAATAGTTTACCTTTGATTACAGTTATATAGGTAATAACTAAATAATTTCAAAATTACAGCTTAGAAGTTGTGTATTCCTGTAATTGTCATGTAATTTTTCTAATGCTTCAAATATTTTTTCCGTTGAATGTGAAGAAAAATATGATTTAATAAATATCTTAATATTAGTCTTCCATTATTTTTCAACGATAACTTTTTATACAATTTTCTCATTTGCGGAAAAAAGGCGCTATTGTGCTCGTCATGTCCGTCCGTCCGTCTGTCCGTCCGTGACTTCACGAACGGACGGACGAGAAAATGCGCTCTCTGTCACTCACTGCAGTGAGTACTGAGTTATATTTTTTTAGTCAATTCTCCGCAACTTTTCTTCTCCTAATTCTGAGTGAGAGGAATAAATACAAATTTTGTAGAAACCGCATGATTAAACACAGCGTAAAGCATCATGCATGTATGACGAAACATAGCGTAAAGCATCATGCAAGTAAAGCATCGTAATAAGTTTAAGTAACAAACCTAAGCTTTATCAACGTATATCGTTGATCAACGAATCAACGTTGATGTGTTAAGGCCGGACACGTGCACGTCGTGGTGGGGGGTATCCTGGATACGGTCCCGAGACTACGCGCGTCCGCCATGACAGTTGCGGGGGGACTGTGCTGCTGCGGCGCCCTGCTGGCTCTGCCGCTCTGTGCTGAGGTGACTGGGCTGATTGTTGTCTGGTCTTATTGTTATTGTCTGGTCTTATTGTTATTGCCTGGTCTTATTGTTGTTGTCTGGTCTTATTGTTATTGTCTGGTCTAATTATCACTGACTTGTCTAATTATCATTGAATGGTTAATCATTATCGATGAACATAACTAGCAGAAATCTAAATAAAATGGTACAATAGAGATAATCACCATAGTCTCTCTGACACTTTAAATTCATACATACATACGAGTGGTCCCGCAGATTTTAACTTTATTCAGGCATTCTGAGCTACAGCGCATATAGAGTGGGAAATTTCTCTGTAATTAATTTACAAAAATTATATTTCATAATGCTTTTACTGCTTACTACCTGATATTTTATTAATAAATCGTGATTTCTCTGAACTGCTTTATTCTTTCATCGGTGAAGAATATTGTTTCAGTCCAACCCTTTTTTTACTTGAAATTTACAATCTTTACCCCGCCTTCACAATCTAATGAAGATTCGTTCACTTTATTTCTTATTCAATTCTGGAATTATTATATACGTAATGTCCTCCTACGGCACTCGACGGAAACGGGGATCACTATATGAATATTATTTTATGTTCATTTTATTATTGTTTATGTATTGATTTGATTTGAAAATATCACGATTGAATCGCTAGTCACCAACACTTTATAATCGTTCAAAATTGCTTAAAAATATTCCTTCGTTCCTCACGCAAAGATGATGTCATAATAACTTCACTTCTGCCGGGATCGCGATTATAATTTTTTATTTTTTCAAAATTGACTGAAAATATTAATTCTTCTTGAACTATAACGAATCCATCATTGCAAACCTACCAGGATCGCGATACTCATCTATAAATATTTCAAGATATTTATTCGTAATTATAATATATTATTATTCAAGCATTATTATTATTTATTACAAACATTATCAAATATTATTATTCAAACATTTATTCATAAAAGTTAACGATGTCATCACTGTACACCCTCCAGGAGCGAGGTTACTTCCTGCTCAACATGCTGAGCCAGTACGGGGTGGGTGTGAGCGTGATGGTTGTGGCAGCGTGCGAGCTGCTCACGCTAAGCTGGTTGTACGGCGTGAGGAGGTTGAGTGAAGACTTCGCCTTCATGCTGGGCTACAACCCCTCCATCTTCTGGAAACTCTGCTGGACCTTCCTTTCTCCCGTCACCGTTATCGTGAGTTGTGTCATCGTTATCGTGAGTTGTGTCATCGTTATCGTGAGTTGTGTCATCGTTATCGTGAGTTGTGTCATCGTTATCGTGAGTTGTGTCATTGTTATCGTGAGTTGTGTCATAGTTGTGTCATCGTTATCGTGAGTTGTGTCACTGTTACCGTGAGTTGTGTCATTGTTACCGTGAGTTGTGTCATTGTTACCGTGAGTTGTGTCATCGTTATCGTGAGTTGTGTCACCGTTATCGTGAGTTGTGTCATTGTTATTGTTAGTTGTCTCGTAAGAACTCAAGTTCGTTCAGATAAGAACGTTGGAATTAATGTTGTCATTATAATTTTATCGATCAATTACAATATTGCTTGTAAATAATTTCAATACAACGAACTGTGACTTGTAACAAGACGATGGCGAGATGAACGTTGCGACCTACACGCATGGCCTTGCGTATATAAGGTTACCTGTTGAAATAATGAGGTTAATTAACGAGATTAATGGTAAAAGGTTAATTAGCATGAAGTTAATTAACGATAAAATCATGATAAAGATCTTGATACTTCATCATAAAATTTGCGTGCAGGTGATGCTGATATTTTCTGTGCTGACCTGGACCGACCCAGCAGCGGCCCTGGATTCAGACCCCACCTGGGCCACGCCCCTGCGCTGGACCCTGACAGCTGTGTCCATCGGCTGGATCCCGGTGGTCTTCATTTTGATGGTCTGCAAGCGACTCGTCACCAGAGTGAGATTTATTTATAGTCTGTATGATCCCGGTGGTCTATATTTTGATGGTCTGCAAGCGACTAGTCACCAGAGTGAGATTTATTTATAGTCTGTATGATCCCCGTGGTCTTTATTTTGATGGTCTGCAAGCGACTAGTCACCAGAGTGAGATTTATTTATATTCAAGAACTTAGAAGCAAAGAAAATTCTAAGTAAATTCATCATATCTTTAATGACGTTTCTTACGCCGTTAATTTCTTGTTGAACTTGCGATTCAAGCAGATTGATGTTATAAGTTTTTTTTAGTCTACCTATATTGGCTCATCGTGTGGTACATATGATTTATATAGTTCACGAGTCATATCGCTTCGTTCCTAAATAGAAATTTTGAAATGAATTTCGTCATTGTTAAGAAGAGTTTAGCGTCTTTTCACGTGGTAAGCTGAGCTAATTAATGAATTCAAATTGATTAAACACTTTAGCAATTCATGTATCCCCAGGCTCATGCAAAATTACCACTCACTGTTGATGTCATTGAGTCAAATTTGTCAGAATGTCATTCACCCTGCCTAATTCCATGTTAGGCCATGTTCCAAACCATATAATCACACGTTCCTCTAAACATCAATAATTCACTTATTTCACAATACCAAATTTAATATCTAAATATCTAACACTCGTGTTCTATGATAAACAATCACACGTTTTCCCTAACATTAGATAACAAACACCCCTGTTCTAAGATAAATAATCACAGGTTTTCCCTAACATTAAATAACAAACACTCGTATTCCATGAAAGACAATCACACGTTCCTCAAAAGTCAATGTTTCACTTATGTCACAATACCAAATATAATATACACTATAACACTTCTGTTCTATGATAAACAATGACATGTTTTCAATAACATTGGATAACAAACACTCGTGTTCTATGATAAACAATCACACGCTCCTTAAAACGTCAATGATTCACTTATGTCACAATACCAAATATAATATCTAACACTCATATTCTAAGATAAACAATCACACGTTCCTCTAAACATCAATGTTTTAGTTGTCATAATACTCATAATACCAAATATAATATGTAACACTCGTATTACCAAATATAATATCTAACATTCATATTCTATGATAAACAATCACACGTTCCTCTAAACATCAATGTTTTAGTTATGTCATAATACTCATAATACCAAATATAATATGTAACACTCGTATTACCAAATATAATATCTAGCACTCCTATGATAAACAATGACATGTTGTCCCTAACATTGTATCATTTCCACGCCGCAGCAAATGGCGCGCGTGTTTGGCCCGGCGCTGAGCTGGGGCCCCGGCGACCCCGACGCCAGGCAGCTGCTCGTCGCCGCGCGCCGCGCCGGCGAGAAAACTAAGATCGGCATCGACAATCCTGGTCTCTCTTACAACAACTGATAGTCATAGTTTTAAAGATTGTTCTTCAACAATCTTTACGGCCGATTGTTTTTCAACAATCTTTACGGCCGATTGTTCTTCAACAATTTTTACGACCGCTTATTCTTCAACAATCTTTTTTGGCGAGAAAACAAAGATCGGCATCGACAATCCTGGTCTCTCTTACAACAACTGATAGTCATAGTTTTAAAGATTGTTCTTCAACAGATTGTCTGTCCTATCCTTGCCCTGTTGCGCAGGTGATTTTTTTGCGAGAAAAAAAAATTATTTGACCAATGATAACAGTTATTGCGATACGCTAAATAAGTTTCCTTGAAATGTACGGTAAATTATTTTGTAGTTCGCAATACTACAAAATATTGAGCATGCCAATATCGAGTTCTAAGTACAATAATTTAATTAAACTCAATCAGTTATTACATCAATTAAAACGATAGTGGAACTGAAACATGTTAACCGTAAACCCCTTTAATTAAAGATTATTAGCTGTAATGAAATGTATTATAAATAGGTTAATTACATTATATACGATTAAATACATATTAACCACGTTAATAATACTGGCTTCTGAGCTCACTTTAATTTCCCCAAATGTAATTTGAATGTTTATATCTATTATATTAGTGAGAGAATAAAATTTCTCGCAAAAAATATATAGAAGATTTATCAAAAAATATGAATTTTACCAATGTATTTTTTTTTCAACCCTATGCTTTCTTAGTGTCCTCATTTGAGTCTATTGATTAATTAAAATTGATTATTTGACAGACATTTACGTGAACATATTTCACAGGAAAACAATTGACTGGTCAAGAAAAAAATCATGAATCCATGTACACAAATGAAAAATTTTACTCGAAATAAAATTAATGTTATTAGTGAAATTTTTTATCATCTTTTAGTTCCGCCTGCTAATGAATATGCAAACTAATTTTTTATAGTAAAACAATATCAATTCCTCGCCCGTTGAAGTGATGGCTATTAATATAATAATAATAGCGGTTTCAGCGTTATTAGGCCGTAGGCCTGTCGCCGATTCTTAACATCGCAGAACATTCACAGCATTTTGCGGTCTCGAACTCACAACTCACTGCTACTATTCTGCTGTGCTTAACCGCCTGGCCTCCTTGCCGATTCTGACCAGAAACTGGCGCACAGAGCTGGGATCGACCTCGCGCCTCTCTGCTATGGTCTTGGTACTCTGAACTGTAACCACTGGGCCACCCTGCCGTGGCCCAGTGGTTAAATTACTTTAAACCGTGGCATTGTTCCAAAGTCACATTTAACTGAATGACGCGTACAATTTTATCAATCTTCACCCTGTTACTCATATATAATTCATTAACCCACCATTTGTTTTGTTGCTATACTCGGGGTTAACTACTTAAATAATGTAAAATATCTCCGAGAATGGCCCAATGGTTACAGTTTCAGGTATGTGTACTAGGATTAGGGCAGTGATCGAGTTGTGGGTTCGATCCCAGCTACAAGTGAGAGTTCTGGTAAAATTGTCGGAGTGGCTGGGCGGGGCTAAGCACAGCACAATTGAAGCAGTGAGTTGCGTGTTCTAGACCCGCAACAAGCTGTAAATACTCTACGATGATAGGAATTAGCTACAAGTCTAATGGCCAATTTAACGCAGACACTGCTTTATTATATGTTAACTAAATTTCAACGCAATTTAGAAGGAACCCATGACTAATTATTGATCCATCAATTACATCTTTTCAACGCTAAGTGGTACGGCACATCTTGATTGTTAGTAAAAAATTACTCCAAATTTCTTGCGATTTTGTTCAAGCCTTATTTTATTGCGCGGGAAAACATGCATGCTTGAAAGCATCCACATTTCTGATAACTTAGAGATAGATTGAGTCGCCAATGAAATGTAATCATTTGGTTGAAGCTAGTGGTCTGCATGGGCCATATGCGGCATTTTCAAAACGAAGTCATTACCATCCGGTTGATTGAGGCCAGCGTTAACTGATCGCAAGCTAATCTTTGCCGATGAACGTGTAGCTTGAATGATTTTATGATCATGTTGAGTTGTAGGAAAGCTGAAGTAATCGGGGTTCAAGTGATACTCGTGTGGGTGGTTTTAATGGCGTCTTAAGTTTCCAGTTATGGTCAGGCATGTTAACTTAGTTCAGTAAAATATTAAGAGATAATTAGGTACTATGCAGGTTTCACTATGACGGCGAGTCTGGCAGAAAGTTCTTTCTTTTACTGGTAGTATCTAAGTGGGCTATAGGGCATCGTTAAGCGTTGTCTCATTGGCTGTAGGCACTGCGGAACTCTCTCCCCGTCCTTGTAAACTTTCTGATACCGTCGGGGAATTCTTGAAAGATTACTATACAAGTTAACCTAAGGTCACAAGTTATCGTTTAGGAAATTAATAGTTCACCTTCCCAATTTGAGTTTGAGCGGCTGAACCATTGCGTATATAGTCACAATGACGTGCGGCGGTGCGGGAACCTGATTGATGACAGCAACTTTGGAAGTCTCATCATGGCCTGCAGTTAGCAACTTCCTAACCAACTTCGGGCTTGCGTGATCTTGTCCAACTATATATTCGCGGGGTTTCGACCATCGTGGGAGTGTTAACTTGTCTGATATAAGATCAATCGTGATTTTAGGCTTCAGCATCTTTTTGATCTTTACCACGGTGTGCGATTGTGTAATATACGGTGGACTCCCATTGGGTATACGTAATTTGTTTTCGTACTTCAATCCTTAACAGCGCGAGATGAACCGTGAATATCGCGGTGCTGCTAGCTGCGTTACCATGATTTTGACGATAGTCAGTTCCTTACTGACGATATATAAACGTGCATTAATGAAGTAACAAAATTTGCTGCCAGAATGGAGTTAGTTGCTGAACATGAAGGCCTAACAGGGCCTATCATGAAATTCGTTCATGAATATCCACCTTGGCTTAGGAGGCCATGGCCCAGTGGTTAAAGTTCAGAATACCTATCAAGATTGGCGCCGAGAGTTGCGGGTTCGATCCCAGCTCTGTGCGCCAGTTACTGGTCAGAAACGGCAAGGAGGCCAGGCGGTTAAGCAAAGAAAATTTGAAGCAGTGAGTTGTGAGTTCAAGCCCGCAACATGCTGTGAATGTTCTGCAATGTTAAGAATAGGCTACAGGCCTACGCCCTAATAAGCACTGAAACCGCTATATTAAAAGTCGGGAAGCCAGAGCTATGAGCGCTCTATAGCAGAGTTCCTCTGCTCAATTAAACTTTATAGTTGAAGGCTGCATATGAACTCCCCTTTCTGCAAGGCCGTCAACAAGATCACTTGCACCTTGGATATTAAACTAACGCTGTTCAGACAGCACTAGTAACCTTCCTATCTACTTAAGTGTCAGCACGGAAACTTCTATTCTTTCAGAGTAGGCTTATTTGTACTTAGATTGTTTTACCTGAATAAAAAGATTTATTGACATGCCTTTACCATTTCGTAACTACACGCTTCCATTGATACAGTAATCCAAATTATCAGTTTTTAGATCGATCAGAGAAAGGAAAAAAAGTCGCGTTCTCAGTATGGCGGAGGTAAGTGGGACGATAGAACTCTATCAGATTCTGTTTTTCAAGAACAATGTAGCTAATTTGCGAATACTGTATATTAACCGATTGTAGGGCCGTATATCCAATATTATATTTTCTTACTCGCCTACAGGCATCACCTCAGAAAGGAGTTCAAGGGTTCTCCTTCTCTCCGCGTAAGAAGAAGCAGGAGGACGCAGACTCCACTTCGGCTCCAGATTCTCCTATGAAGGAAGTAAATAGCAAGTTTGTGATGAGAAATATGATCAAGGATTTTTACCAGCTGCTGAGAGCTTGGAAGCGCATCCCCATTGAACGGGTGGAGAAGAGTGCGTGCGAAGTTCCAACAGAAGCTAAGGAACTGATCCCATGTTACGGTCTAGAAGAATTGGATCTCGCGTGCCTGTCCGTGCACAGCTTAATAGTGAAAGCTCCTCCACGTGATCTCCTGGTTCTGCATTCACAAATAGCCAACTACATTAAAACCCAATCTGAAGAAACTGTTATATCAGAAGATCTCCTATTCGGCACCGACTCCAGCGTCGATGAGGACGACACACAATCCGGAATTTTTTGCAAGTACGCTGACCATTGTGTGGATTTGGTTTTCAAGGCACCGATGAAGTATATCGTTGCTAAAGAAGCGAAAGTGACGGATCAAAGCCTGGTCAGAATCGTGCAGGCTCTGATAAACCTGGATCTTGTTCGTCACTATGCTCATGACATGGGGAGACGGATGTTAATCTTGTTCAAGCATGCGGAGCCAGAGGCAGTTGATGTGAGCATTCAAACTTCCGCTATTGATATTCAGGACGAAACCCTGAAGAGAGCCATAAAGCGCTTGGGATGTCACTATATGTCGAAGTTCCCCGTCGACACGCTGACTCGCCCTCTCTTGGAACGAAAGGAGATCGGATTAATGAAAAGATTCTCGGTAGCTTATTCCAACTTCTACTACGACGACTTGAACCGTACTAGAGAAATTAAGGAATGGCACCTTACACTCAACCCTTTCTTCTGCAGTCTCTGGTTCACAATGTGGCACAAAATGGCCATGACTGCTGATGCAGGCAAGAACCAGCACCAGGCAGAAATTATGGGCATTAAGCAAATCTGTCCCATTTGTCATACACAGTTTGAAGATAATTTGTTGGCAGTTCTCGATGGGTGTGGCGAGTACATGTGCCTGGGATGCGTCAAGAATATGGTGCAGGATCCTCCCCGTAAACGGTAGGCGTTCAAATTTATTCACTATTGCAATCAGCTCGACACGTCTCATTACTCATGAACATTTTATTTTGCTTGCTAATGCCTAGATTATTTGCCAACTTTGTTATAAAGAAGCTAGCATTGTACGGGTAGTAGAGCCAATTGGTAGCGGATGATTTAAAATTATAGTTTTTCTTAAAAGATTGCTCTTGCAGGAACTGCGATTTGTGTCGCAAGCCTTTTGACACATGGACGTCCAAGATAAACTTCACCAAGGGCGTGAGGATGATGAAGGAAGCTCTACTCAGCAGCCAAGACTACAATACCCTGACGACCTTTTCGCCTCAAATTTTTGATCACTGAAGATAAATTTCTCATCGATTTTACGAATTTTTCTTACGTTCAATATGAATGAAATTAAAGCACTTTCTTAAATAAAATTTATGAGTTTCGGAGAGTTGGTTGCGTCCTATCTCGTTTTAGAAGCTTCAATGAAGAGGATAAACCTTAACTATGTCAGAATTCGTCGTAAATCGCATTTAACTGCGTGGCTTCTATATTTAACTCAGATTTAGTGCATTATTCTTCTGCCATTTCCTATTACAATGTTCATAGTTCGGCCAAGCAATCTTATCATGATTTAATAGCACGAAGAGCTTGGCAACTACTAATATTCAAACCTGCGGCAATCTGCCTCCCGGCAAGTTGCGCGTATGCCAACGCCATTTTAACCCGTTTCGTGAACAAAGAAGCACATTACCAAATGTTGTTTCTACTGGTCGGAATGGAAAACAGATGAATAGCCTCTTCGAATATTGATAATTTGGGCTTTGACTCTGATAGTTGGAACTAGAAGATCTAACCGAACTTTCAACTGCGCTAAGCCTACATCTTCCATGTAAAGGGCAATGGACCACCACTGAAAGTAAAACTTGCTCGAACAAAACTTTACTGGGTAACACGACAGAAAAAAACTTGTACTGCATTAGGCGCGAATTTTTGCTTGATATTCGCACGCCTTTCTCATGAAGTTCAATCTGGTGCGCTTAGATATCTTCATCAATGCCGAAATAGAGCTACGCTTATATCAGAGTTAAATTGCGGAAAATTTTATAACACTGTTAAATTGACGTACGAAAATGTCCATTTTAGGAAGGAAGATCAGTCCTCCTGTTACGCGATCTACCTACTACAAAATCTGGACGTTACGCGATGAAAGAAGCAAGCGCCTTAAAAAATATAAAAATTTATGATTCCTTAACTGGAAACGCGTCTTGCGATCAAAATAATTCATTTACATGCCTCGTACTTCGATACCGGTCAGAATATTTACAACGCATACTGAATAATCGCTAAAGATCAGGCTTTTAAGATACATATTACATCTACATACGTACATATAGTCAGCTAGTGTGAAGGAGTTAACGAATTTTACCTCTAATTATATGATTAAATTTTCAATTCTTTTCCCTACCAATGCATATAGAGCAAAATTATCTTCTAAAACTTGTCTGAACTAAACTATTTCAATGTCGTGAATTAGTCTTTCTAGTCTCCCTAATCGCTAAAGGTCCATTTAAATAGAAACAAAACTGTCCTCTTGAACGAGGTAAATTAGTTTCAAAGTTTGTACTACATCTGGCAGTTAGCACAGAAGTCGCCTAAAATTTTCACTGGACAGTTTTGTCGGCAAGAGTTACGTCAGAAAATGTGGTACCGTCGTATCAAGTCGTGTGGTACCGTCGTGTGGTACCGTCGAAAATGTGGTACCGTCGTATTACAAGTGTCATAGTGTGAACAAAATTCTTAAAAGAATAGACAGAAAACTTGAAGATGTCAGGTTTAAAAATGTAAATTGTCTAAAAATGTCCTAACACGTACAACGTACACATCAACATGGCTCTTTTTCTTACAAATAAAAATATGGAACCAGATTCATGAACATCTTCAATTTCAAACGCGACAAAATCCCTTGCAAGCAGAACCTAAGCTTTTATATTGTACTGGGGGCAGACGCAAAATAAAAATAAAAAAACTCAGCGGCCTTGATTATCATCGGCACAGAATTTGTTACCTAAAAAATTCCAACGGAGTATGCACCAAAAATTTAAAGTAACCGGTAACTATTGCCCGTAAACTTTGTTATTCAACGAAACCTGGAAGCGAGACAACCAATTCACCTCGTACTACGCTTTCTCATTAAGCTGGCAATTTGGCAGTAAATGAGACACATTGAAAAATATCATAATTCGTTATTTTGAAACCAATTACTCAACACAATGGTTCTTAGTTGCAGGATAAAAATTATCTTCAGGTACGGCGGTTCCAGCTATTGTAGTCTTTACTGTCGTAACTGCGGCTGCGGTGATGAGCTTCGTTAGGAGACCGGCCAAGGCGATGCTGCATACCCTCGTTAGTATTTCTATTTCCATTATTTCTGTCGTACGAGTCATAATAACGACCACTACCGTACCCAGAGTTGTAATCACTCCCGCTGTAACCTTTGCGACTGTTGTCTTGAGCTGAATACGTGTTGACGAAACTGGTGCTGCCATAATGCGTATGGTAAAGTGAACTGGATCTATTTGGTCCATTATAACCACCGGCGTAGCCACCAGCACTTTGGTTGCTATAAGCTGCACCGCGGTCATCGCGTGTGCTCCGGTAGTTGTTGCCGCCGAGCTTATTACGAAGATCCCCACTACCGCTCATCTGGCCTAAAATGTTGTCGTTCATCTGGTGGTAGTGGCTGGCAGATCGAGCTGGGGAGCCACCACTGAATGACTGCGACGATGGTCGTGAGTTTACATTTCTTTGTTGGCGGTCAGGGAGCAAATGTGACGCGTTCCCCGTAAGAGATGCATTATTCATGTAATGATTGGTCTGTTGTTGCGCCTGCTGTTGCTGCAGGTTGTAGTCAATGGTATTCTTCCATGTCTGGTTTGGGTCAAGTGGCTTAGGCTTGAAACTGCCATCATGTCGACTCTTCCGTACATAGGAGCTGTCACGCCCCTTAGAATAATCCTCAGCTCTAGGGTTTTCATCACCATTAAGAGTTCGTTGAATGTCGGATTCATTTTCAATACAGTGCACACCCACGCTGAGGTAGTGAGGAAGGTCTACGTTATTACGGCGCTGGGTCTTCAGAGGTCGGCCCAGGAGCTTGATGCCGTTCGTGAGGTGGATGGCGTACGGCACCGAGACGGCGTGTGTGAATATCACGAACGCGAAGTTCTTCAGTCGGCCAGTTTCTCGGTCTTTGACACGATTGATTGACTGCAGAGGTCCAGCCTGTAGATGTGTGATAAGTTATTACTACAAAGTAAATACAAGTTATCGCCATGTAATTTTGAGATTGTTCAAGAAGACGAACTGGTAGACTTAATTAAGAGGAACATATAGTTAAAACTTCAGATAAAAGCAAGGTAAAAATTCAGGCCTTTACTTGACAAATTAGGCCAAAAGAACCAGTTATTAGCAAAATATACTAAAATTTTAGGGATAATATTATCAATATCTTATCAACATAAAAACAAACTGTGATTATTATTGTGCAATAAAACCTAGTATATAATGAAACTTCAAATATTTGAATATAAATTTACATAAACAATTGAAATTTCTTAAAGGGTATATTCTAAAGAACACAATTCACCTGTAAGAATAGTTCATACAGCAATGAATCTGTGACATCATCGTGTAGATTGCCTACATACATAGTTCTTTCTTGTTCATCTCCCATTATGTGGTGCCAGTATTGAAGCTCTACAACGGTTTTGTACTCTATACAACTATCTTCAACTCTTCACTTTTAGTTATTGCTGTGCTGAGATAGTCTGGAAAGATCTAATCTAAATAATAGTTGGACAGATGTCAAGTAGAAGCAAGAAGTAGTGATCTATAAAACAAAGATTTATATACCAATAAAAACGACACAGATATTGCATCAAATCATTGTTTTAACAGAAGCAGATATTTTCATTAGGTACTTCAGATCAATTCCCTGGAGACTCAGAAAGAAATTTGACTCATTAGAAGGGAGATATTTGAGTTATGCTATAAGGCTATTATTTAATGGAATCTGAGGTAGGTAGCGATTAGAAAAAAATATTGATTTTTAAATTCAAGTGAAATATGTGCAATGCACTAAGAGATTCAACCAAAAAGTATCTAAAGAAAATACATTCTCTAAAAATATATTCCAGAGCCAAATTGACTGTTTACTAAAATCATTAATATATAGGTATATATAGGTATTTTTATCACTAAATGGACTTAGTCTCATTCCATCAGTAAAGAAAATGTGATATTTTGAATTACATGAAAAAAAACTGGGCTTTTTGGATATTGGACTTTTCACTAATGTTCTAGGAATGCCATACAACTACCACAATCATAAAATATATTACTGTATCTACTTTTTAAGAAATGAATAGCACCTTTCTGCCATTTATGAAGCTGCAAAGTTTTCTGCTGGATGAATCTCATAATTGTTAGAAAAAGTGCATGATCAAATATTCACTGCAAATATATTTTTTTGTATCATAATTTTTGAGAAGCATAAAATGTGAAAACTTGAAATATAATAATGTTTTTAACTCATATTGACTTCAAGAAAATAATGCAACTTCAGCCACAATTGGAAATATGGTACTAAGCTGGTTAACCAAAAGCAAGGGTAGCCCAAGGGTAACAGTGCAGAGTACCAAGATTGGAGCAGCAGGCTAGGGGTTTGATACAGGCTTTCTGCAATAGTTCTGGTTAAATCAGCAAGGTGGCCAGGATGTTAAGCAATGCAAACTTGCAGCAGTGAGTAGTGTGTTCTAGACCTGCAACAAGCTATGAATGATCTGCAAAGTTAATAATTGGCAACAGATCAAACAACCCAATTAAAGTTCACAGCGCTATAAAAAACCAAACCTGACTCTTTCAGGTCAGGTGGAGTGATGCAGGTAGAATGCATCAAATCTGGAATATTGAGCAGAATTTTCTAGAAATTATGGCTAAATATTGTTCCATGGGAATTTTTGCACATTGCAGGAAAAAATTGGTAGGTACTGGTATTTTAAATTTCCCTATGAAAATTAAGGGAGGGCAATAGAAACATATAAAATTGGCCACAATCACAGGCATTTATGTCACGTTTATCGAGAGCTTCTGTCAGATTTTCAAGTCTGGGAGTGCATAATGCTTATGGTGAACTGAAGTAAAGGTAGTATATACTTCCTCTTTTACAATTCCAGTATGGTCTGAAAATAAATGAAATTATCTATTTTATCTTTTAATTTCAATAATCACTTATTAAATGTGCTTATTCTCCTTCAATTTTATTTAATTCTGTCAATATACCTACTACCTATTAATTTGGAATGTGGGCAGAGTTTCCTGAAATTGCAGATAAAAACTTTCATGTAACAACCAATTTTAAAGATTGAACGCAAAATATACTTTTTTTTCTTGCTTTGTATAAAAGAAATTAGGCAAGTGCCACAAAAATGTGAAATATATTACCTACAAGCATTGGGATTTTTGTTGCATTCACAGATTCTAAATCAAATTTCAGAATAAACTGGTGTCTAAAAATTATCATTAGCCAGTATGTGTAGGTCAAATTTGGATTATTCAACAGAATTGTAAAAAATTGTGGTTAAGAATATTGTATAGTAAACACACCATATTCCAACACCTTATGGACGTAACAAGAAATAAATGGCTATAAATAGATCACTGTACAGCAATCCCTTGATTAGCACGGTTTTGAATACCGCGGTTTTGATTAACGCGGAAAAAAAATTTGCGACCTACCCTTAATCTACGCGGTGCCAGTTTTGATTAGCGCGACTTTTTTTCATAACGCATCATTTTCCCGCCTCTAGCCAGAGGTGTTATGTTCGTAACAAAAGTGTTACTTTTTGCTTATTAGATCTTATGTTGTTACTTTTGTTACGACTTTTGGAAAAATTCGCCAAATGTTGTTACTTCATGAATTTCAGCCAATAATTCTTTAAATAAGGTCCCGTTCCGTAGGCACTCGTGCTGACTACAGAGTCGGTTTAACCGCGCCTTGTCTCGTTCATAACTCGAATGATCGAGTTCGGCAATGTTCGCCGGTAAGTGCGCCATGCCGGTGCTCTAGCCCTCTAAGCCCTGGTGTGACGAATTCGTCACACAGAAAATAAAAGCTCCTACCGAGAGTAATTACATGTTTGGAATCTAGCCGCGAGTGTGACGGTAGCGTCACATGTTGTGAACTCGTTCGAACGACGTTCGATGGAGTAGGCGCGTCGCTACTGCCAGTTTAACACAAAGACTGCCGTGATCTGAAAAGTAATTCAGATTGTTTTTTCACTTTCGAAACATAATTCAGTGTGTAAAGGGCTAGTTACTAGTTAGCCTTCAACTGGTCAAGATCGCTGCCATATCTACTGCTCACTTTTATCAAACTACATAATTTTCCTTTCCTTTGCTATTTTTGAGGATTCATTATAATTATTCCCATATATTCTTAAGTTTGATTAGCGCGGTTTTGCTTAACACGGTAAAACTTGGGGATTTATTAACCGCGTTAATCAAGGGATTGCTGTAAGCGCAACTCAAGTTCTGATTGGTTTACGTCACTCTCAAAACACCACACTATGCGCCAGCAATGATGAAACGTCACAAACTGTTGCCATATGTAGTCAAAGCCTTTAGAATTCAAATCTACAAAATCGCTGAATTCCGACACGTGTGTGACTAAATGCGGCATATTGTAAGACTAATTCCAACAGCGCTTCAAAATCGTAATTCATAATTCTGACACCCTGTGTGGGAATTCTGATACCCTGTGTGAGCTGTGTCAGACAGTCGGAATACGACACAGCTGGGAACGAGCTATGTGTGTCTAATTCCGAGCTGTGTCGGAATTAGTTTTTATGTGTCTAAAACTGTCTCTTAATTTAATCATCTATTAATTTATTTACCACTTAAAATCAGCAAATACAATTATACTTAAAGGATTCCTAATATATTCACAGACTTATATATTTAAAAGTCTCAAACCATAATATTCTTTCTACACAAACAGTTATCACTATTTGGTAGAACAAGGTCAACCCAATGCTGAGCGGTATCTCTGATCGTAGGTGGATGGGCTGCAGCGGTGCCGGTTTCAACTATCAACTTTGACACGTGTTTCAATGTCCTCACTGGGTGATGTGGACTTTTGCTCTGAGAATCTTAACATTTTCCCACCAGACCTAGTGTTTAGCGGAAATATTGCACGCAATAGTATGATGTCACTATTTGAGCCATCTATGCATGCGTGGAACTAAGACAAAGCCTAATATAAAGGAAAAAGTTGAGAAGTGTTGGAATTACCCACAATGTTGGAATATGGTGGCTTAATTGTGCATTTACCCTAATTCATCAAGCAAGAATCTCTTGTTCAAAAAAGCAGGAATCTTCTGGCAAAACTTGAGTTGACAAACTGGAAAATTTGGTATAAGTAACTGTTAACTGTGAATTGAACAAGAATGCCCATGAACTTGGCTATTTTGATCACCCACAATAAATTACAAATCACCCACAAAATGATCAATTTAACCTGCAATTTTAGGCAAGTTCTGCTCATTGCCCAACATAGTGGCAGAGCAGGGAGTTTTTTAGACTCTCCATCAAGTTCATTTTTTAGTCCTATATGGTAAGACCAGCAAAGTATTCTGGATCCCAGCATTATCATACATAAGAAAGTGGTTAACATCTTTAATAAATGAGGAAGTTGAAAATGAACTGATTCTAAAAAAAATCTCTGGTTTGTCACTATGCTCCATAGTGTGCTGGGGCAGCAACCTAGTCTAGCAGAGCTTCGAGTCTGCTGCTTTGCTTTCTTTTTCTGACAGAGATTAGGCTGGTGGGCGCTTTTGTTGCTAATGCCACAAGTCTTAATCCCAACTAAAAAAAATTTCATCAGATCTCACGAGTCATGCCCATGTTTTGTAAGTTTCTTTCATTTTGTTTAGGAAGATGGAAAAGGGAAACGTAGGAAAAAATCAATAGTCATTCACCCATCTGGATCGACTGATGGCAATGAGGACTGAGGAGCCTAGGAGGCAGATTCATTCAGATTTCAGACATGTCTTAGTCAGACTTTCAGTCAAAACTCATGACTGTTATGTGATATGTCTGGTAATTCCAGAATAATCTAGGGACAAAAAAAAAACTACCTTATGAGCCACAACTAAAACAATATGGACTAAATATGTGACTAAAACAATATGAAATTTTGGGCATTGCCCAAAATTCCATATTGTTATAAGAAAATACCTACTAAAGGGCATTGAGCTGCATTGATCTCAGCTGATCAGCTCCTAAGGCTGTGTTCAGGTTCCAACTTCCAAGGGACTCCAATGCAATGGTAAAGGCTGCTCTAGGACCTGCAAATCTAACACAGGCAAGCATGAAATGCGAGATGGTGTCCTCCTGGTGACAAATAGAGCAGGTCGAGTCCTGTGCCATCCCAAACCGGGCCTGGTCCACCCAGTGTGCACCAACGCCCGCGTGGCTAAGGCGCAAATGGGCCACTGCACACTGCATTCTCCGTCTGAGGCAGCTGTAGTCAATGTGATCAATAGAGTTTTCAAGAATCAGTCGAAAGTATGAGATCTGATAGCAAATAGACTAGTTCAAAAGAGTGACTCGCAGTCTTGCACACGTCCATCCTTAACCCTTAAATGCACTGTGTATCAAAAATGATACAAACCAAATTTTTGCCTATAAATGCTAAGGTAATCAGGCTACTTGCCTGTGGCACATCTAGTATCAAGTACGATACATACGCAATCGAACAAGAATAAAACAAGTTACATCGGTGTTGTGTTGTGCGGTGAACATGAACGCCAGTGAGCGACAAGGTGTGGTCGGTG